CGAAAGATAGATTGTGAGGTAGATTCAGCGGAATCCACTTTAGGCGGACTCCGGTTAACCCTGGACACCGGGAAAATCAAACAAAATCCCCGACTCCGAATCATTTGTATTCTTACCTGTTTTATATATACAGGTTGATTCGGACAAAAATTCAGTTAATGGAGTGAAAATGCCTCGCTGGTCGCTGCTGAATGTACTTACTCAGGCCTTCTGTGTCTTGAGTGGCCCCATTCAGCCACAAGCTGCTCCGGGGTAGGGATGGAAGGAGTCTAGGATTGATTGACAATGGATTCCAGCCAGTCACAAGCGGATGGAGTTGGGCTGTCAGTCAATGTGGGGCGGAGGAATGGGGAAGAACAAGGGAGGGAATTGGAGGAGTCAAATTGCCATTGATTGACAGCTGGAGCTGGAGCCCAAACATTCACAAGCGGTTCCGAGGCTATCAATCACTTCGGAGCCACCGCTAATTGGTCCCCTTCCCATCCAGTGGGACCGCAAATGGGAGGGAGGATGCTCTTCTGCTGGGCGGGAAGAGGTAAGAGAACTTCGGCTAACCTTGGACGTCACTAAGTTGAATAAAACGGCCTTTTCCGATGTGTCCGGCTTAACCGGCTTCCACTGTATATAGATAGATATTAACGTAGTAGCACATTGTGTACTCAATAAATCGTGTATCACTTTCGACTCTGATCTAGATGTATGTAGAAATACTGATGTATAAGATCCAGTATCCTACTCTTATATGTGGCAACCCAATAAAATCCTAGTATTTCAGGAAGTTTTCTAAAATCACCTATATTAGGGAGTTCATCATAGCTTCTTACACACATTTCTTAGTTTATATAGGAAGATCCATCATGTGTCAATGGTATTGATACAGCGACTATATTGTTGAGAATATTTCAACTTGGTTTCACCAAGTTTCTGTAAAGTGTATATTTGAAAGCAAATTTATATTGTTTTCATTTCTTGTTCCTGCTATGGTTGATTCTTAAGAAGTTGTTGACATAGTAATTGTTATGTTCACATTGTTTCTCTGCAAGTAAGTAGCTGGGACTGGGAGTAGATTTTTGGATGGTGCTGTGCTTGGCTCATTCAAATATTTCAAAACGTACCTCTTTGTCTGTGCATTTGGTCATCTTTTCTCCTCCCATGCCTCCCACCACCTGCCCACCAGAGCTCACCCGCCCATCCAGTTCTGCCAAACGCTTTAAGACATCCTCCTGAAATGAAAGGAGTTAAAGTAAAACTCCTGATAACTCTTCACTCCAAGAGAAAAGGGCATGGGGATGAGTTATCTGTAGTGGTGAGTTAAGCATATGTATACATACATAAATAAATGTGGCCAGGATATTGACAACATGATGATTTAAACTTTCATGACAAGTTAAGCCATAGTGAAGTTATCAAGAGTTTACTATTTGTAAATGTAAATTGTATTGTATTTCATTGAAGGCTGCTTGAGAAGATAACAAGAGGATGTAATTTCTTCTTTTTGCTGTGAACATGTCAATGGATCTGAACTTCAGATTTCTCCTGAGATAGTATTGACGTGCCATGGGTTTATTGTTTTGATTCTGCACCTGAAATCTTTGTTGCATTTCATTATGGCTTGTTCTTCCTATGAATGCAAATGCAAAATAAAAATTACTGCTTGTGGGCAGTTTACATTTTGCATCAGCAAACTTTCGCCTCAGGTTAATTTGCTTCCGCTTTTCACCTTAGTTACATTCTGAGAACCGATGTTATTTTTTCAACCTGTCGCATTCTTTGTCCCATCAAAGCGCCTCGAGATTCTTAGCTGCTTTTTATAGTTTTCCATATATTTGTTTCCATGCCAAATATATGGTATGATCATGAAAAACGGCTATAGTAGTGAGATCACTGGCATATTGAATAGTAACTCGCAGAATTATCACTGAGCTGATTTCAACTCCATTTCAACTGTATAATTGAGTTATTATACTGGGGATCATATACAATGCTCACCACTGCAGTCCTCCAGGGTCTGGGCAGTTCCCGGATATCATGGGGATTAGAACCATACACAGTACTGCAGGTATAACCTTACGAGAGCACATGTACCTTTTAGGCATGATTTCTTAGGACCTGAACTCAGCTAATTTGACAGTATAGCAAACAATAAAAACAAGTTGAATTTATATAGTGTCCTTCATGTAGGAAATCTCTGAGCACTTAAATAAACAAGGCAAACAACATCCTGTTGTACTTGTTTATTTCTGCCTCTTGGTGTTTTGACTAACACCCAGATCTCTTTCAACTTTTTTCGTTGGCAAGTTCTGTCCCATCTATGGATTAAGTGTGAATCCAGTTTTCAGTTCCTATATGCAGTACCTTGCATTCATCTGTATTGAACTTCTTTTACTTGTCATCAGTATATGTGCATATCCAACCAAACTCTCTTTTTAAGTGTTTTATGTGATATTTTGTCAAGTTGTTTTTGAACTCACAGTCAAGTTGGGATTTCACCTCCTCAAAAATGTCAATGAAGTTGTTTGGAAAAGGTCTATCCTTAGATCTCTCCCTTATACTTAATTCCAGTGGTGGGTGATGAGAAGGTGTAACTCAGTTCCAGAAGCTGTGGATGGAACAGAAAGCATCAATGTATTTACAGGAAACATGATGCATACATGAATAAAGGGAATAGAGGGGCATGGGGTTGGGAACTAGGGAAGGGTATTAGAATGTGTCATATAGAGCATAAACACAAGCATACAATAGTTGGGCTGAATATCCTGTTTCGGTGCTACAGATTCTATGTATATTAATAGTGGAAAAGTGTAGCTTACTGTACAAGTAGGAAAGACTTCAAAACCCCAAGATCAAATTTGGCAAATGAGCTGTGAAAGTTTCACTCTGAAAGTGGATGAACCCAGTGCAGTTCTGGTCAATATGACATTAAAGGACTGCTCAGGTCCTAGAGGAGATGTAGAGAGAAACAAAGCTGGTCTGCAGTAGTAGAGGGATTGGCCATGAGGAAGACAAGATAAGCTAGTTCTTTTCAACTCTAAGGGAGAAGTCTCACAGGGAGTCTTACAGTATGACGATGCTAATTGGTACACAGAAAATACACTCAGAACAACACTTTTAGATAAGCCAAGACAGCGAGACAAGAAGGCATAGGTTTAAGATTGTGAGGGGCAAGTTTAGGATGCAGAGGATTATTTCAGAGGACTATTTTAGCCATAGCATAAGCAGCATGAAAAAATTGGTAACTGTGAGATTTTTGGTTCATCCACTTTTAGAGTGAAACTTTCACAGCTCATTTGACAAATTTGACCTTGGGGTTTTGAAAGAGTTTACGAGGAAGAGCAGTTGAGGCCAGGATGATAAAGTCAATTAAGAAATAGTTTGATGCTGTAATGGGAAGATGCATCATTGGTATCCCGCAAAAATGAGGTTGTCAGAAGGGTCTTCTTCTGAATCTCTTTCATGATTTTGTTTATTTTACCTCACTCTATTTAGCTGATGGTATTAAATGGGTTGCCATTTATCAGTTTAGGCATCTCTTCCATGAAGCATAGCACATGAAGAAACGACCTTCTATGTTTATAGTACTGTAGCATATCTCAAAGCACTTAACAGGTAAAGATTTTAAGTGGTGCAAGCAAACACAGGTCACCAACAAGGTCCTATAAACAATTACAAGGTGAATGAATAATTAATCTGAAGTATACTAGGAGAAAGTTCCTTCTATATTTTCTTAGTGACTAGGCAGACAAGCCCTCAGTTCGACATCCTATCCAAAGGACAGCACCTCCACCAATGCATAATTCCCCAGTACTTCACTGGATTATCAATCTAGACTAGTGGTGTTTTGTCATTCAAAACTACAGAGGCTAAACCTCCCCTTTTCTAGTTCCATATTTATTTTGGTTATCATGATGGATCCCATCCCCCCACCACAAGAAGAACCAATATAATTGGACAGTTATGCACATTTGTGAAGTTGCTAAGTTACCAGGAACACAAGTAAACCTAGCAACTTTGCACGTACAAATTGTAAATAAGTCATGTCCTTAGTAACCTCATGTGCATGCACACAACTTTCCATATGTACACAACTCCGTTCTTTGGGGAGGTAATCAATATTTAATAATATTGTATAAATATTTCTGTTTAGTCTAGGGTTAGTTAAAGGAAAATAATAAGCATACAGATTAAGTTATAGAGAGACAGAGCAAAAATGTTGGATAGACTGAAGTAGAAAGAAAGCAGTTGAGGAGAATCTCAAACAAGATTGGGATTCTTGCGTAATAATCAATAGAAACAAAGTGTTTCAGTTTGCTATTGTGTGGGAACACCAACCCCTTTTGAGGCCAGACAGGATTACTTTTAGCTTCTCCCTTTTACTAATGGCAGTCGCCACTACTGGCATATACTACTCAAAACGAACATGGAGCTTGAACCTACAACCTTCTGACCCAAAGGCGAGTGTGCTACCAACTGAGCCAGGCTGACACACATGGGGAACTTTGCTCTTGTTAAAAATCTCTTCAGTCTTCATTTATCTATAAAGCACTGTGACTACATCTTCGCACATGAATTTTCCAAGAATGCCTTTTGATAGTCTTGATGGTGTAACCTGCCATGGAAAGCAGAATAACTCTCAATATGTGGCGTCTTGTATGATCACTCACCGGCATATATCCGATAAAAAATTTTGAGAACTGCAAGTCCTCTATGTTGTATTAATGTGTTTGTGTGTGTTTGTGTGGGTATACCAGTTATATATTGTGTACATAATAATTATCAACAATAATATAAAATGATTAGGTTATGTTAATAGTTAATTTCTGATCGATTTTGACTTTCTGTATTCTGATGTAAGACATTATCATCCACTTAATACTAATCATAGATGGTTTTGTATCATCTGTGACCTTGCTATTTTATATGCTGCTGCTAAGGGGTGGGGACTTGCCCTTTGGACGTGCATGTAGTGCACTTCCAGCCAATCGGTTCTGCGAATGTTAATAGTGTTTTAACAAACTCGACTCTCTTCCAAACACCTTGTGGCTTTCCAGAGGAAGATCGGCTTTGTTGTGTGATAAGTGATCTGAACTGTACCTGTTCCAGGAAAACAAGCAAACAAGCACAACATGAGCACCCCTGCTGCCGACCATGAAACTCCAGCCCCTGCTCCCCCCAATGTCCCTGTGCCAGTGAGTGAGTTGGAAATCAAACACACTAAGGTGAGTGAGTGCATTCATTTGATTCCAGAGTGGTTTGCACAGGCAGCTTCAGTGCCCTGCAGTCTTGTCCGTTTATTACGACGCCCTCGGTTCCCCATTTGTGCTCATTACTTTTCTTAACTGAAGGGGGAATCGTTTTTTTTTTGTTTGCAAACCGAAATGAAACCCTTGGGACGTTCTTGAGCTGAAACGTTGGCTTCCAAGAATGACAAGATGTTGTTGTCATCTCCTCTCTGTGAGTGCAGCTTGATCAGAATTCAGCAATAGGTTGCACTGATTTGCAGCAAAATGTTGAGACACACGTTGTTGTTTTCTAATTGAAAACAAAACAAAAGGTTCACTGGGCAGCAGTAACCTGGCACAGCACAGCACAGCACAGCACTGGGTGGAATGAGCAACTCCCCAGAGAGGTGCAGAGCAAGTCCAATGTTATATGATCAGAAGTTTGAGCACTTCCTTATGATGAGGACAAATTCTTTCTCAAATCCTTACAAAATAGGGTTTTTTTGGGGGGGAAAAAGCAATCCTTCCGAAAAGCACAATCATCTTTTCTTTTTTGACAATCGTGGTTACACTTTGTGGTTTGGAATGGAGCATCCAGTCAGTGTGTAAATAGGATGTGTGCATGGTGGGGAGGTGGGGTGGGGTGGGGGGGGGGGAATTGGTGGGTTTGCTGTATTTTTATGTTGCAGGGTATTTTTTAAAAAAAACAGGAGGAGAGAAAATACAATCAGTGTCCGATGAGTCTTACGATGGGCTTTGTGGGCTGGGTTTGTCTGTGCTATTTTGTTTGGCTTCTTTCTCACTTTTAAATGTTAAATGTTGCTTTATTTATTGCAGATCTTCATAAACAATGAGTGGCACAACTCCAGCAGCGGCAAACGGTTCCCAACCTATAACCCTGCCACTTGCGAGAAGATCTGTGAGGTGGAAGAAGGCGACAAGGTGGGTTCTATTAATAACTTAAACATCTCGCTTTGTGGTAACTGCAAAATGAGCGGCGATTTGACGGATTTTGCATCATTGAATCAATCCTCTTTGGCGCCTTGTTAATTATGTCCTGTCTGTCTCCATATGTGCTAAAAACACAAACAGAAATTACACATTATTTTTAAACGCATGTCATGTTGGGATTGAATTGTATGAAGTTTTTTTTAGCTCTGGATGGCTGTTAAGAGTGTTGGGGTATTTGATATCATGTAACCTCTGCAACAAGTATCAGTGCACATGTTTATGTTGAACATTACAAGGTTATTTTACGTTAGCTAGACATGTGTAAGTAGTTTCCTAGAGAGGGTGGGTGGGTTGGGGTGGGTGGGTGGGGGAGAGAGAGAGACAGAGGGAATTGTGAATGAGCAAAGATACTATAATTTAGTTGAGATGAAGCAATGAACCAGCTCTGTTCCAACTATATCATCATAATAATAATCATTGCATTTGATATGGCGCCTTTTACGTTGTCGAGACATCTCAAAGCGCTTCACAGGATATACTGAAAAGTAGTGTGACTGTGCATTTTGTGGATGAATCATCTACATATGATTTGAATGAAATTAAAACTGCTAATGGCAATAAGCAGTATAAAAATGACAATGGTGAAGAAAGGTGAGAGCTAAGATAATAAGATAGTAATTTGACAAATAAATGCAGAGTTATAAGGGAATTATGATTATTGTATACATGCAGGCTAATAATAGGGTAGTTGTGCAGCATTGTTTGAGCTGGCTTTGATGTATTATACTGACACAGATCCTGCAATGTAACTGCAGGTTTGCAAAATCAACATAGTCAAGTAGTGTGAGACCACCTTGTGGAAGTAGCCCTTAACTGTCTAGGCTTCGCACAGACTGCATTTTGAACTGGAGTCAGTGCAAAGTGAAACTTTTTAAACTTAACATTTGAAATCTAAAAGTTTTTGGGTGTCACCTTGATTTTTAGTGTGAGCAAAGAGCTGATATTCCTGTCACCTCTTCACTAATCTTAAAAATTAACTGGTGTTCAGGTGCTGGTTGAGCAGAGCTCTGTGCATGACTGCATGTACGTAAGTGCAGAAGCGCAGAGCTTTGTTTCACTTCTACACAGTCTAGGGATGATAGCAAAACAGGCCAGCAGTATAGCTGCAGTCTGCTGGCTTATACAGCTCTATTGTAAGCACAGTGTACTCAAACAGTGACTTAGTATAAATGAGGCACAAGAAGTATCTGAGGTTGTTGTCATATCAGAAAAAGGTTGAATACATGACCTTTTGGTGCAGACATGTTCTTTCTACCTTCAATAGTCAATAGTCCATAGTCATCACTCACAGAATCTGAAATGTGAGAATAATTTATTGGGAAAGTGATGGACAAATGTGGGTATGTAAGGGACAGCATGCTCAGTACAATTTTGCTTGCTTAAAATTAATCACTGAAGGCTTAAAAATATCAAAATGCATTTTTAATATTCTGTTTGATAAAATAACTCTGAATCACAACATTCAAATGCACTGAGTTTCCCAGCACTTTCCAACCAAATTTCATGAATAAATAACCTATTTATAATGCATGTGTGATATCCTTTTATATAACTGTTTATTTTTATGTAACTGTTTATTATTTATTGTTACATACAGTAATAATATTACAAACATTATAATCTGCAAATATCATTCCATGGTACTGATGGGAAAGATACTTTCTACCCGCATGAGAAACACGACACATTGTTCGAAAAGATACAAGTTGCTAACTGCTGATATAAATGTTCACGGCTACCTTATACACACTGTTTTCACACTTGGCACCACAACTGGAAAAAGTTAACTAATAAACTGAGTCATGAACTTATAAATGAAACCATCACACTAATTTTATTTACATCCACACACATTTTATAAATACTATCAGGTGGGAGGTTACTGCTTTGGGGTCTGTGATCTTAATTCTCCTCAGCTGTTCAGAGAACATTACAGTTTACAATATCATGAGAATCCTTCATTTAGATTACACACTTTTAATCACCTACATATATCATTTGTTCTGTATACAGGTCTAATTTTGGCACAACAATTGTTACAATGCCTACTCCTCATAAAAGTTGACATACTTGAATCTGTGTTAGATTGGAAATTCACCCATATGTGCCCTTGACTGAAACAGGCTGTCCTCCCAGTGTGATTAATCACTAAAGCTCACTTGCTTTGTATAAAAAATGAGTGTGGATGTGGTAGCATTACCAGGGGCATCAAACATTTCCTATTCATTCAAATCTGTTGCGAATAGGCATGTTTCACTTTCTAAAATGAAGTCTCACTCCATATTTTGGCTCTTTCAGCGCCATCAGATTTAAATATTGTAAAGGGTCACCATGACACAGTGAGCAGCTCTGTGGATCTAAGTGAGCAGCATGGTAATGTATATCATTAAAAGTCATGGAAACTGATGAAAGTAATGACCTAATATTGCCCTGCAGCACAGATAAGCTAGAATAGGATTCTGAAATATCCTGTGGACTAGTCAACATTGCTCCCATATTCCTGCAAATTCCTAAATTCCATAGCGTCTACAGAGAAACGGAGGCTAAAAAAGCTGATAATACACGGGAGTTGTGTGTCAGATGGAGAGCAAAACCTGAAAAGTTGTATCAGGGTATTGAATTTCCAGCCCACATTAGATTTTAGTGTAAGTTTTCAGGTGAGAAATTACACACCATGTTAAATTTAAAAAAAGTCAAGATCATGCCATTCTCCACATGTTCATGAGTGCAAGTTTCAGTCAGATGGAAACATCATGTTAGTCTGCAGTAAACTATCACTATTTATTTCCTTATTCTATGATATACTTTACCATTTGTTGGAATAAAGATATAGTTCACCGGAGCTAAAGGTCTCACCATGGTCATGCAATTAACAAGCAAAGTAATGGATTGCCGCATCACTTGCAGTCCTTTTCATTGGTTGGTGATGACATAATTAAGGGTGCATGTAGTTCCCTCTGTACACAGATGGCACCAAATTGGGGAACTGTGGACTTTACACATGGTTAACCCAACTCACAAGTTTGGTTGTTAACCCAAACTGCAAATCAGACCCCAGTGGATCACATGAGAGATTCAGATGAAGAAGGATCTTCAGCTCAATTGATCGCATCATTCCAGAATACCCCTCAAACATCCTTCCAACAAACCATCAAGCTGTTTCTTAAATGAGTCCAGCAACCTGACTTCAACCACCCTCCCTGGTAAACAGCTCCAGTTGGTAATTACCCTCTGGTTAAACAAACACTTACTGGTGTTTGCCATGAAATTGCCCTTTGCAATCCTGAGCCTGTGACTTCATGTTTTGCTTCCTTGCCACATCTTTTGTCAGAAAGGATTATTCTGGATTTACTTTCTCGATTTCATTTAAAATCATGTATACCTTAATAAGGTTCCCTCTGAGAAGTGTATTTTTTTCGAGGACGAAATGCCCTAGCTTGTTGCTCGGAGCTCATTCCTCTAACAAAGGGGATCATCCGTGTTGCTCTTCTTTGCACTGCCTCTAAGGGGTGGGCAGCTCTATATGTCATGGTGACCAGATCTCTATACAGTATATGGCCTGACCAAGGTTCAGCATGGCCAGAGCACTAGACAACGTGAGGATGACTTCTGGGAATCTGAACTCAACTGATTTTGCAATATAGCCCAGCATCCTGTTACCCTACTTATTGCAGCTTTGCATTGTTTTGCCATGGTGAGCAATGAGTATCACCCCTAGATCTCTTTCAGCTTCCCATTTAACAAGTTCTATCCCATGCATGGAGTACATGTGCCACCTATTGTTGCTTCCTATATACTTTGCGTTTATATGTATTGAACTTCATTTGTCAGTCATCAGCCCATGTGTAAATACTATCAAGCTTTTTTGTAAGACTTTAGTTGCCTATTCTGATTCTGCAGTTCCTCCAAGGTACTGTCATCTGTGAATTTAGCTCTGTGGCAGAAGAGGCAGGTAAAGGTGTCAGCCTGGCTCAGTTGGTAGCCTCAGATTTTTGCCTCGGTGGTAGAAGGTTGTATGTTCAAGCCCCACGTCAGGACATTGAACTCATAGTTCAGCCTGACATTCCAGTGCAATGCTGGAGGAATTCTGCATTGTCGGACATTAAACTGAGGTCCTGCCTGCCTGTTCAGGTGGATATTAAAGATTCCATGGCACTATTCAAAAAGAGAAGGGAGTTTCTCTTGGTGTCCTGGCCAACAATTCCCAAGATAAAATTAATTATTCACATCATGGCTGTTTGTGGACTGATGTTGGGCTTAAATTGGCTGTCAAGTTTGCCGACAAATACATAGTTACTATGCAAAATCCTGTGAAGTGCTTTGACAACATAATGTGTTTTATCAAATACAAGGATTATTATCATGTATAGGTGAACACGGCAGTCAGTCAGTCACAATGTTCCACAATCAACAATGAAATAAATGAGCAATTTATTTGTTGGTCAGACCATTGGCCTTCTCCCTTCTCCCTTTTTTTTCAAATAATGAGATCTTTAACATCCAGCTGAACAGGCAAGTACAACCTTAACTTAGTCTCTGATTTAAAAAAAAACAACAGCCCTCCTACAGCACTGGGGTGTAGTGACAGTATAAACCATGAGCTAAAAATACCAATATGTGACTTAAGCCCACAAACATCTATCCCAGAATCAAGAGTGCTGCCGATTGAGCATCCTGAGTGGTAATAGTAGGATACAGGCTCAGCTACTTACCGCTCTACATCATCTTCTTGATTTTAGCCTAAATGTCTAAGAATAGGTTTAGCACAGACCAAACATGTCCCCAAAAGAAGGTATAATAATAATAATAATCCTTGCATTTGATATAGCGCTTTTCAAGTCTTCTAGATGTCTCAAAGCGCTTCAGAGAATACACTGTAAAGTGATATTTGTGGGCGAAACGCAGCAGCCAATTGCACACAGCATTGTCCCCCAAACAGTTGTGGATTGAGTGACCAAATTATTATTATATATTTTTTTCTTGATGGATTATTATCAGGAGTGTGGAGCAAGGAAATTTGCCCTCGCCCTGCCAGGAATCGAACCCAGGTCTCTCACTTGCGAGGCAATGCTCTAACCACTGAGCTACAGGACTGCACAGTGAAAGAAATTATTTTTAGATGACTCCCATTGCATGCACATAGGAGTGCACAATTGGCTGCCATGTTTTTCCCATCAAACACACAGTCACTACACTTTACAGTATATTCTGTGAAGCACTTTGAGACGTCTCAACGACATGATGATGCGCTATATTAAATGCAAGGATTTTTATTATTATTAAGAGCAGCATCGAAGAGGGCTGGAGTAGGTAAAAGTAGACAAAAAAATCTATGTCAAACAGGGCAAAAAGGTTTACAAAAATGAAAGTTCGTCATTGCTCTTTAAAGAGTTAAGCATACTTCTATATTAAAGTACAATATATTTTCCTGAAACATGCATTTTGATAAACCATTAGACTTTTGTTCTGAATTATAAAGAGAAAGTTGTGAGAAGTGTTTTCTAAACATGTAATGATCTGTGCAAATTTTGGCTATAAATTAAATTATCCAACTTAAAAGGCAGACTTCTGTTTACACTGAATGCTCTAGAATAAAAAGTATTGATTTACTTAAGATTAAGTTACCACAACACTTAGTTTCAATGATATTTGACCAGCCAGAAACTCTAAAATGAACTGTAATTGAATTACCTCAATCCATTTTTGACAGCTCACTTAAAGCTCTGTTTCACTGGAATTCATTCTCCACATACAAGTGAGAGAATAGCTAATGCCATTATGCCCACAGGTGCCTTTTCTCTAAGTAAATCACTAGGGCAACTACCAATAATCCAACTGCTAACTATTGTATATTGCTAGTTTTGCATAAACAGAAAGCAGGAGCTTTTTATTTCCTTTCATGTCCCCTTTATGCATTTCTGGTCCATTGTGTTCAGAATGCAAGATCAAAGTGTGGGACTAGTGTTGCAATCTATATCATTGAGGAAAACTATATAATAATGCCATCATGCATCTTCCTAGTCTCGATTTGCTCAGGTGATGTTGTGATATGTCCTAGTTTAAATCAGCTGTTCATTCCCACATATAAGCAAAAGGCACAAATATGATTCTTTTCACTCCGCCCCACCTCATTCCTCCCAACCCTCAGGTGGTACTGTGTGATGTACCTGCGTTCAAACATATCAAGTTACCCTGTAAGATATTTCATTAGGCTTTGAGTATCTTATTCAGAAGAGAATGAGTAGAAATACATATTTAGAAATCATCATTATCCAAAGTATCTGATGTTAAAGCAGGATACATGTAGATGATCATATGACAATAATCTCATGACTTCATTATAATGTAACGATGTGTCAATGATATTTATTTTGGTATATTTATACCAATTTAGATCAGGTTTAAAAAATATTTACGTTAGATGCCTTGGCTTGGGTATATGGGGTATGAATTTGGCTTGGGTCCCTTGATCCAATACACTTCTGTGGATCCATGCTTCCACTGTGTAAGCTTCTCTGTATTAGTTTCTCAACAACACAGTAATAATAATAATAATCCTTACATTTGACAAAGTGACTTATTATGTCTTCAAGACATCTCAAAGAGTTTCACAGAACATACTACAAAATAAATTGGCTGTTTATTTTGTGGACGAAATGTGCCACCATAGGTAAAGATCAAACAAATGCAGTGCTGCTAATACCAACTGATATACTAATTTATCTTGAATTAAGTAATTAATAACCAATGTAAAGGATCAGAAATTCACCCTTACATGATTTCACTAAAGCTATAAACAATGTGTGTTATACATCACAGAGGGTTATCAGGGAAGGAGTGTTGTGCTTTGAATAATGTGCTCAGCAGAGGGTGATGGGTGGCAGGCAGTCAGCCATTCTTGATGCTATTTCCCTTGCATGGCCAATGTAATTAGAAATATTTAACATAGTGACTGACTCAAGGTATCATTTAAATGATAATCATTTAAACAGGAGATTTTAAATTGAGGATAAGTTCAATTATTAGACTTTTTATTAAAAGCAATTAAATAAGACTTTATAAGGAAAAAAAGAACAGGAATGTGGCAAATATTTCTGATTAAACAAATCCAGTAGCAGATAAATTTAAATTAACAAAACAGTATTGTCATCCATCAAATCCAAGGTTTATTAATTATCCTTCACAGGATTTTGCTGCAAAGCATAGAGAGTGCATTTTGTAGATGAATGCTGCAGCCAATTTGTACCCAGCAATGTCCCGCAAACAGCCATGAAGTGAATGACCAATTTCCTTTTGGGGATTGTGGACCAGGACACCAGGGGAAACTTCCTTTACTTTTTGAACAGTGCCTCTGACAATGCAGCATACCTCCAGCAATGCATTGGAGTGTCAGCCTGGAATATATGAACTCAAAATTCTGACATACATCTTGAAATCACAGCCTTCTAACGCAGAGGCGAGCAGTGGCGCTAGAACGATTATTATAGTGAGGATGAAACCCCAATTCCCAACACTTTGAAAGCCACTATACAAATGTGATGTGTTGTCTAAGGGGTGCTGGGATGTCTAGCGGTCAGGAGGTATGACAGGGGTGTGCCTAGGAGGTGATTTGGAGCTGATGTCCTGGGGAGTGTCAGGGTGGGGGGAAATGTAAACGACAATTTACATTTATATAGCACATTTCATGTCAGAAGGATATCTCAAAGCACTTTACACAGCTGACTGTGCATTGAGTTGGTGCAGGATTGATGGCCGAGGCAGGGGCATGGTAACTGAAGGTGCAGTAGAAAAGATAGATCTAAAGGCTTACACTGAGAAAAGTTTATCTGTTTTTGTATTAGGATTCCTATTAAGACAAAGAAACAAAAGAGTTGAGTATACAGTGTATAGTATTTAGCAATTTCTTATTCTTTAGTTACGATCTAAATAATCATAGTTCTATTATTAATGATTTGGGATTGTTCCCTATTCTAAGGTTGTTATCCTGGGACCAGCCTCCTGCTTGTCCCTCGAACCTTCAGCTCCACCATTGGAGGTCGCCTATTCAGCCACTTCACCCCAAAACTGTGGGACACTCTCCCTTAATCCCTCTGCCTTGCTCCCTCTCTCCCCTCTTTCAAGTCCCGCCTGAAAACATTCCTTTTTGACCTTGCTTACGGTCACCTCCCCGCTTCCTCCGCTTCCCAGCTCAGAGTCAGACTCCGCTCTGAGATGCTACTCTGCGTGGAGGGCGCTGTATAATTGCAAGCTGTTGTTGTTATCATTCACATACCTAATCCAATAAAGGTCTCAGAAGATTCTACTATTCACATTCGGCACTCAAAGCTCTTTCTATTTACTTATCACAAATACAGCAATGATTTTTAGACGGGCTGATATACTTCAGGAATCTTGAGCTGATTGCTTAATTATAAATAGTTTAGTAAAAAAATAACATTATATTGTAACTTTCTGGATCATGGCCTCTTGTTCTACTGTCTTAGTGTATCCCAAAGTATTGTTTTGGGCATAGTTTTCTTTAATCCCATTTAGAATTTTATACCCCTCTAGTCGACTTCTCTCAAGACTGAAGGGCTAGCTTGTCTAATCGTTGTTCATGATGTTTCCAGTCAGGATGCTGTGCAACTGAAACAGAGCTACTGTACTTGGAATGCCCTAATGTCAGAAAATCTTTGCACAGTTCTTCTCTGCTTGTTGTATTTAGGTGGAAGTGGACCGGGCAGTAAAAGCAGCTCAGGAGGCTTTTCAGCTTGGTTCCCCATGGCGCAGAATGGATGCTTCTGAAAGAGGAAAGCTTTTGAACAAACTTGCTGATTTGATGGAACGGGATCGTGTTCTATTAAGTGTGAGTTTTAATTTGGCCTTCATTGGTTGTACTTATGATTCTGTCAACAATTTTTGATTTTTAACAGCGTTTAATTCTGTAAAAGTGTTGCTGTTTGGAAGCATTCATTTCCTAACAAGTAACCTAAATCCTCCCTGCAGCACACTCCCACTGAAGTTATTTTGAGATCTTGTGTACAGATGTTAATGCTCAGAAACAATAACCATTTTCTTATAGCTACAGTGTTCTGCTTTACATTTCTACTAATGTTTCAATTGCATGTCACAATTGCGGTATCCTTATTTGTTAAAATTAGTGCAGGAAAAATATGGTTATTTCCAATGGTGATAGCCATTTTGTGCCTACCACAAAAATCACAGATATTATCCTGAATGTATACCCTGATTTCATACAGGAAAAAAAAATTCTGCTCCTTGATCTGCTGTTCAGATTGGGAGGTAGTTAACATCTGAATCACAAGTAGTGCAGAAATAAAAAGATCACTAAACTTTGGATTTCTCTCATACTAAATCAATTTCTGATCAATGTCAGAACACCTTACTTTAATGAGATCATTTAGATTTATTTTAAAGAAAAGCATTCATATGGAAAAATCCATTAATGTGCTTCTAATATTTTAATGTTTTAAGGATGGTGAATGCATATGTGTAAACTAGAAGGGTTAAACAATACATTGGTAGTATTTAATTTGAAAGAGTTGGAGACAGTATATTTGAGTGTGTTAAATAAGCAGGCATCGATAAGTGAGTTCATTTCATTATTTGTGAAAACAATTTATCATTGCAGACTGAAATATCAGTCTCTTTGTGTAAATATATTCCTTTGAACTATGACATATTTGTTCTTGAGACCAATGATCTTTCATTTAACTTCGGCTGAACCCAGTGACCTGTTTTTCCGAAGTAATACTTTAAATGAATGCACAAACAACATAATTCACATTTGCAAATCAAAGAATAACAGGCACTCACATTGGAAGCGTAAGAGAGCTTTAGAAAGTAAGTTTAATTGTTTACGTGTTTCTACAGTTAGGTCCATCCCTTCTCTCACCTGTGTGTGAAATGCAGAGTTGGAATCTGCAGATTTAACTGCTTTGCAGTGTTTTGTGGGGTTTGGAGTTAAGAGTTTATAATTGATATTAATCAAAATTTGAATGCCAACAAAACTATTAAGTTGGTATTAAAGCCCTTATGTAACTCCACAGGTGTGTTAATCGATTGTACAAACACTGGAATTAGTTTTAAGAGGACAGTTTTTAATTATGATCTTATTCTCGGTGTGGAAAACAACCATGCTCAAATTTTGTTATGACACCCAAAATCATTAGTTTCCCTGATGTATTCACTGCTAACAGAGCAGGCATGTAATTCAGGAAACAATAGTGATCAACTGAGGTTTAAAATGCAGTATTTGTAAATCCCAAGTTGTTGACCTAGAAGTGATTTCCACTTGGCGATCTCATATATACTTTATACTTATACTTATGGGCTAATTCCCAGTGAGAAGAAGATGCACAAACTCTGACAAATGGTCTGAAATTAAAATAACCACCCCATAATGGCTTTTGTGGGCCTTTGGAATCAGAATTCTTTCTGATTTTCATTACTTTTTTATAACAAAACAAGAATTCAAACACAAACCAGAAACCTCTATTAACGCAGCAACTTCCAGTTGGCAAACAATTTCATTTTCAACCCTTTGTATGTTTCCTGGGATTCTCTGTGGAGCTATGTTATTTTTGTTGTGTTAGTCTTACATTGGAATAAATTGAATACTACTCCCAAATATTAATAGAAGTCATTGTATCCAGCCTGAGGAAGTGGTTAAAGTTGTCCTAACCATACTTCATTATTACCTTTGTGACTGATTGGTAGGTTTGATTTACACCCTCCCCCCTTGTTTCTAGACAATAGAATCTATTGACTCTGGAAAACTCTTTCTCCATGCATACTTCGTTGACTTAGATGGTTCCATTAAAACACTACGCTACTATGCTGGCTGGGCTGACAAAATCCAAGGGCGCAGCATCCCAGTGGGTAGGTCTTTACTCACGTCTATCACTTGTGTTGAATGAATGTTCTCATCTGCCCTTGAAATAAACACTGTGAGGATTTTCTAATCATGTCAAAATGGTTTTAAGAGCAGTGTTAAGACCTTTATTTTAGGCCTAAATAACTGTTATCTTAGGTTTTCTAGAATCAGAAAGAAGATAAAATTGCAGGGCACAAATCAGTACAAATCTTAAAGTTCACTCACCTTGGGCAGAATGATTGAAAAGAGGATTAGGCAATTTAATTAGGCAATTACAACAAGATTCATATGTATGTTTTTTTTCCCCCCATGAAAGTAACTTCACCTGAGTTGATCCACCATTTGCAACCTTTCTATTCATGGGGCTTCTCAGCTGTAAGTAAAGAAAATGTTGCAGAATATAATTTTTAGCAACTTAAAAAAAAATGTTGACTAAAACCACATGGACATCCATGTGCCAATTTCTCTGGGGAGTTGAGCGCCTGAATTAAAAGTTACACATGCATTTAGATGTGGCTCCTCCCATCATATGTTTAGCAGTCCAGTTAATTCTTACCTAACTACAGAGCATTTAATAGTTTACTTCTCTGAGACTGAAGGTTGAGGGCTCAAGCCTCACGTCAGGACTTTGAACTCAACAATTTAGGCCGACGCTCCAATGCAGTACTGCACTTTTGGAGGTAACTTACTTCAGCTGAGACATTAAACTAAGGTCCTGTCTGCCTGTTCAACAACAACAACAACAAAATTCCATTTATAGAGCGCCTTTCACGTCGGGAGGACGACCCAAGGCGCTGTACAGTTGGGTCAGGACCCAAGCAAGGAGGAAATGGTCAGGGTGAAGGGAGGGAGCGAGGAGTGGGTAGAGTCGAGAGGGGAGCTGAAGGCACGGTCAAAGAGAAAGGTCTTGAGACCGGCCTTGAAGGAGGAAAGGGAGGAAGCAAGGCGAAGGCACTGGGGGACAGAGTTCCAGAGCCTCGGGGCTGAGAGGCTGAAGGCCCGGCCACCGATGGTAGGACGGGGGGGGGATGTGGAGCAGACCGGAGCCAGAGGAACGGAGGGTACGGGCAGGTAGGTAGGGGGGTAGTAGGTCAGAGAGGTAGGAGGGAGCAAGGCCGTGAATGGCCTTGTAGGCGAGGATGAGGATCTTGAAATCAAAAGGTTCAGGTCGACATTAAGATCCCATGATACCAGTTGAAAAGTGAAAGGAGGTTTTCCTGCTGATCTGGCCAGCCATCCCCCAGATAAAAATGGTCATTCACTTCAGGGCTGTTTGTGGAACATCTGTGTGCACAAATTGGCTACCATGTTCACCAACAAAATGCACAAACACTACTTTCCAGTAAATCCTGTGAATTGGTTTGAGATATCCTCCTGACGTGATATGGTCAAATGGAAGGATTTTTATTATCATTTTTACTACATTCATTGTTTATATAAGAACAATAAAAAAAACTAGCAAACAGTGAACAAGAGCAACAAGCTGCCAGTTTAGAATTGTTTCTCTCACCAGAGATAGTTAATTTATATAAATAAGCTGTGAAAGTGTCAGACAATCTATGGAGGCCAAAGGACAGACAAAGAAAGCAGCTATAAATTAAGGATCAAATGTAAATGACCCAATAAATACATACTCATTAACCTTTCAAATAACTTACAGTCACTGAAATTAAACCACCAACTCATTTCTAAACAATACATTTCCAGTGCATATTTCAGTTCAAAGTAAATCAACTGGAGCCAAATATGTGCAGCCATAGATTATTAAATGCATTTTGGTGGATTAGTTTTGCTGTTTTATTTGATAGTGAAAATCACAACAAATGTTTCAGTGTTTGGTATCCTGTGGGTTGCAAATCACGCATGTAAATGGGAATTGATACAGTTTTCATAACAAAAGATATGGTTATAAATAATAATCCTTGCATTTGATAAAGATAAGTTACCACATCAAAACACCTGAGAGTACTTCACCTAATTAATTATTTTGAAATTCAGGGACTGCTCTGTAGAAAAATGCAGCAGTTAATCTGCACTAGCAATGTCTCACAAATAACACTGAGAGGAATGATCAATTAATTTGTGTGTTTTGTTTTGAAGCTGTCATTGTTCTAAACCAGTGTTGCTCACTACGATATTTTCGAGGGCCATAATCCCAATTAACATTATGCTCGAGGGCCACTCTCAGGAATGCTTTTCACACTGTACTACAGAGCACTGATGAGGTATGGATCAGCTCCTGCAATTCCACACTAAGTGAGCTCCTGATTTCAATGATACCCCCATGGGCAATCGTCAAATGGGGGAGGGGTGCAGGTAGTTCCTTCCCCACAGAAAGAGGGGGGAAAAAGGAGCACCAAAACTGATGTTACACAGTTCAAGTTCAATACTCTTGACACTCAATAGCATTCAATTGTCTTCTTTTGTTAAAGAACAAAATACAAGAGAATAACTTTGTTTTCTATATAAGTCAACATCCTACAGCCAAACTAGAAGCTCAAGTCACGAAACAGCAGATCTGCTGAGGGATATATTTGATCTCCCCCAAATTCTGTGTACAACGTTCCTGAAGGTTATTTTGGAATTTGAAAGTGCAGTGAAGGACGAGGAATGTTGCTTCACATTGGATCATACTTTAATGATTGACAGGGTACATGAGTTTGCAGTTCAAGATGCAGTTCACTACTCAGACTGTATCCATACCCAGCATCTTTAAGCCCCTGACCCTCCAAGGAATGCCTCTATACCTCTGGACTCTTATATTTGAATCTGTACCAAAATGTGCAAGACATCATAAACATCCTCAATGTTTCTGTATGTAAAAGTCATACCTGTCATTTCTTATTAGTTTACTAACCCGTCCGCTCCCTCCGCTCAGGAGGCACTGGCCTGCTCCATATCCCCCGCCCTGCACCCACGCATTCGTCACATCACCCACGTATTCGTCACATCAAGGCTCGATTACGGAAACTCCTCCTCATCGGCCTTCCCAACTCTTCCCTTCACAAGCTGCAGATCATCCAAAACTCTGCGGCTCATGCACTCTCACGCACCAGGCTCCGTGACCCCATCACTCCCACCCTCGCCTGACTCCACTGGCTCTCCATCCCCCAGAGGATTGAATTCAAGATCCTTATCCTCACTTTCAAGGCCATCCATGGCCTTGCCCCCTCCTACTTCTCTGACCTGCTGACTCCCTACCAACCTGCCTGCTCCCTCCGTTCAAGTTTCCTTACGCCACACACCTGATAATACTCCCTCAAGAAAAAATAATAAATTGGCCACTTTAATCCACAACTGGGACACTGCTGTGCGCAATTGGTTGTCGTGTTTTGCCCACAAAAACAGTCAATTCACTTTACAGTATATTCTGTGAAGCACTTTGAGATGTCTAGAAGACGTGAAAAGCGCTATATCAAATGCAAGGATTATTATTATTATTCCATCCCAGAGTTCCTTCACCACCTCCTCGCTTGCCTCCCTCAACATCTGTCTCAAGGTCTTCCTGTTTGACTTTGCCTTCGGTCATCCTCCCACCTCCACTCGCCTGCCCTCCACCCCTCTTGACTCCAAGCCCCAGATCATGTATAAACCCTTGACTGTCCAGCACCTTGGGACACCCTCCTGTGGTGAAAGGCGCTATCTAAATGCAATTTGTTTTTGTAGTTATTGTTACCTATGTATTGACTATTTGAAAAGAGAAGGGAGTTTCTCCGGGTACCCTGGCCAACAGGGCCCCCAACCTGCCCCCCAAAAAAAGGAAATTGGTCATTTATTTCATGGATGTTTGTAGGATGCTGCTGCGCACAATTGTGCTGCTCTGTCTGCCTACAAATACACAGTCACTCCATTTCACAGTAATACGTGTGAAGTGCTTTGAGACATCCTTCCAAAGTGGAAAGGCACTATAGCAAATGCAAGGATTATTATTACTGTATCTGTGTGAACATTCTTAAATGTGACACTAAAGCAGAATTTCCTTTTAAATAATTTCACATGATATTAATTATTATTTTACTCATATTGGGTCTAAAATATGAGTTGGGCTCATAGCCCATAGCTAGCCACATCCTTATTGTAATCAACTTATACAGGATTCAGCTGAAATGCTTTCATGGGTAACTAATAACATAATTAAGGACATATAGGCATGGTTTGCCAATGAACAATTCGCTCAACCCACCTTTTGGTCACATTATGTCACATTGACGTCTGTTGTCTGCAAAATAAGACACAACTTATGCCTGTACTTTAATTGCAGGAGTTTACGTTATGTGACAAATTCATTGCAATAAATGTATATTTTCTTGTAGACGGCGAGTTCCTCACATTTACAAGACATGAACCTGTTGGCGTGTGTGGACAAATTATTCCCGTGAGTAGCACAACATTTTATGATATTATTTTGTAAGGGATTTTGGAAATATACAATACTACCAATTGTCAATTGACATGAAAAGGAAGTCGCAAAATTGTATTTACGTATCTATATCAAATGCTAGGATTATTAGTGGGGTTTACAGCACGGAAGAATTTGCCCCATTGTGTCAGTACTGATGCTTTCTCTCCCACTGGAGCTATCTTCCATTCCCCTACTCTTTCCCACAAACTTTATGTTACTTTTCCTCTTAATGTTAACTAATTCCATTGTGAATAGTATAATGAAATTGGCTTCAACCACAATTTGTTAGAGAAGATATTCCACATATCAAGGTAAGACAGGAAAGCAAAATATTGATAGGAACATTTTTTTTAATGGCTCAAAATACTGATGTTACAAATTTCTGTCATTGCAGTGGAACTTCCCGCTCCTGATGTTTACTTGGAAACTTGCTCCTGCACTTTGTTGTGGCAATACTGTAGTTATCAAGCCAGCAGAGCAAACTCCACTCACTGCACTCTATATGGGATCTTTAATCAAAGAGGTAAGAACCAGAATTTTTTTTAAGAATATTGGATACTCATTGATTAATTCATTTTAAATTGTGGATATGGTGATCCAAAACATGGCGATTTTAAATGGGATTTTCTCTAAGAATTCTGAGCCGCAAATGAGTATTCCCTCCGACAACAACAGCATGCATTTATATGGCGCCCCTCATGCAAGGCATCATCCCAGAGTGCTCGATATACATCTTGATATACTTGCAGGTCTTTGGGACATACATCCGACAACTCACAGATCTGTAGGAACTCCATTCTAACACAATCTACCTTTAGAGGGCTGTTCTGTGAGTCAGTGACTATATCTGCTGACTGGAGGGAATTTCCATGTGTCATTTTGGCTCCTTATTAAGAAATCCTGTTTGAAATTGCTGCATTTTAGACCCCAATAGGACCTGATAAAAGTTTAGCCGTGCATTTGAATAAAATATATTGAGACATCGACCCAAGTAAGCACTTTATACAATGTGAAATGACAGCCCATGGTGACTGAAGAAGGGAACAGGTGTGAGTTGATAACAGTTTACGACAACTAACTTTGGTGTGAATAAGGACCACTACCTGAATGATAATATTACACCTGTTGGTTTTGGGGTGTGCTGAATTTTCCTTAGATATTCCTAACAACATCTCAGCTCATCCTTAACAATCCCTCTACAGCCCTTTCCGGCCCGGCTGTTTGATTGCCAATGGTTAAATCTTGCGAGTAAAGTGTGTTTTATAAGTCACAGCTAGTAAATCATTGACTAAAGTTGTAGACATCGAACTGAAATTGGTTGATCATTTTCCTTTCACTTCATACTAAAGGTCGAGGTCAAGCTAAGCTTGAGTTAATATCCTCAGGCACCCTTGCTGAACCACTGCGATAAAGAATGCATAGTTTCCTGCATTACCGATTTTTAAAATTAACTCTTAAACTTAATCTACAGTGCCAGGACTTCTTCAGCAGCTAAGTATTATAATTTCAGTTCCATAACATTGCATAATCAAAACATTTGGCATTATCAAATTGCTCCAAGAGTTATTTCACTCAGGGTACAATAAGTATTCAAATGTTTCATTATTAATCAATTCTTGCAACCAGCCTTGACATTATTCACATTCAGTGAAATTCTACCAGTCAGACAGGGAAACGGTATTTCTTGCATCTCAAAAATTAAAAATTAACTTTCTTCCCTAACCCAACCCCCACCCTAACCTGCTTTGTTCGCAGACTGAATCTGTCAAATGAGGGCTATTCTTTGCTTTCTCTAAATCTNAAAAAAAGTTAGAAGTTCTCTAGAAGAATAATTGACTTTCAAATGCCCTCAAGCCTGTAATCCACCTTAAAACCATTTCAAAGGATATCTATACACACATAATATGTTAGAGGAGCATTCAGTTTAGAAAGTCTATAGGATATAAGATTGTGTTTTTTTTAAAAAAAGGAAAACTGGTTTTGGAGAAACATTCTGACTTTTATTGGATTAGAATTATCAGCACTATTTCCCTTTCCTTATTTTTTCCCAGCTGCCAGGAAGGGTGCTTCTGGAAAGCTTCATATGTTTGTAATGTGGTTAGATGCACACTGCTTGCTTATTTCTGGTTTAAGGCATAAATGTATGACCAAGCAAGAGGCAACAGGCACTTCAAAAGTCCAGTTGTTTCATTCAAAAACAAACAGAATAACCAGTTCAGAGTAAAGCATCATGAGCTGAAGCATACATTTGATGGGGTGAAATGTCATCACAATCTAGGCTACTCGAGTGCAATGCTAGGGGAGCTCTGCATTGTCAAAGGTGCGTCCTTTGGATAAGACGTTAAAAATCGAGGTCCCTCTGTCTGTTCAGGTGAACATTAAAGATCCCTTTGCACTGTTCAGAAAGAGAAGGGAATTTCTCTCGGTATCCTGCCAACAATCCCCCAAATAAAATGTGGTCATGCACTTCTTGGCTATTTATGCAACATTTTGTGCAAATTGGCTGCTATCTTCACCTACAAATGCTACACTTCACAATAAAATCACTTTCAAGCCTCTTGAGACATTGTGATGACGTGATAAGGCAATATGCCGAATTATCAAGACTTATTATATGATTGTATGTCTTTGTACTGTAGTAAAAAACTCAGCTCCCTTCCAATTCTTTATTCTCTCCCATAGTCAGTCAGTCGAATATTCATTCATTCATTCATTCATTCATTCATTCATCAACATCGTCTGCTGCACAATTATGTAACAATTCTTGCAGTGCACTTTATGTGTTGCATTGGTTTATGTTTCTCACCTGCACCATTTATGCAATGGGCAAAACGTCCATCTGGTTTGTTATTTGTTTTCCTGCAATTTTCCTTCCTGGTTTTCCCTTCCTCGGTTGGTTAGTGTTGAAGTACACAACTCAGAGCCCACTCCTTCTGTGAACAGCTGTGTAAACATCAAGGAGAATGTGTTAATACAAAGAAAACACCATGGTTTGAACAAGACCAGAATAGAGCTGCTCTTATCCTGTCAACTGATTTCACTGTCATCTAACAGGAAGCATGCCTGGCACTAAAACTGGAGAAAGGAAATTTCAGAAACTTTCCAGAAATTCATTATTGTATTAATTTTGACAGGGTGGTAAAAAGCAAAACTTGTTGGCAATAATGTTGGTAGCACGTATTGCTTTTTACCACCCTCCCAAAATGATTAGCACTGCCCTAGAAAGAAAGTCATGAGTTTTATAAAAATACTCCTTTTTATAGAGCCTTTCACATTGGGAGGGAGTCTCAATGCATTTCAGAGGATTTACTGTAAAATATAGTGACTGTGTAGTTTATTTAGTTCTCAACCTTTGGATGAGACATTAAACCAAGGTCATGTCTGCATGTTCAGGTGGATATTAAAGATATAAAGTACTATTCAAAAAGAGAAAGGTGTTTCTGCCAGTGTCCTGTCCCAACAATTAAAATAAAAATTGGTCATTTGTTTCATGGCTGTTTGTGGGATGCTGCAGTGCGCAATTGTCTGTCGTGTTTGCCTACATCTTGTGAAGCCTTTTGAGATATCCTTCCGATGTGATGAGGTCCTGTACAAAATGCAAGACTTATTATTATTATAGGTGAATTCTTCAATCACTTTTCATCGCAGCAATGTCCTACAAGCAGAAATTATGTAACTGATCTATTTTATCTGGGGCATATTTGGCCAGGACACCAGGATAGACGCAATGGTCATTCACCTGTAATTTATGGCTATTTATGGGACACTGCTGTGTACAGATTGGCTGCTGTGTTTACCTACAAATACACAGTATTTCTATCTTTATTAACAGAATCAGACCAGTTAATGTTCACTCAGAAAAGTGGTACTTATTGATTTTGGTTAAAAAGTATAACCTATGTTGACTCTGAAAAATTACCACAGCTCCATATAGTTAAAATGGAGCTGCAATTTGATCCGCTCTTCTGATCATAAATCACACACTTACTATTTCCTGAGTAAGAACCCTTTGCCTGAAGAGGTGAAGTGTCTTTCTTTAATGTTGTACTCCAGGTGGTATTTTAAAGACTACAGAACATATATATCAAATTCATCATGAAGAGCCTTACATGCATGTAGGGAATTAGCCCGTGGGCTAACCACATTCAAGTGCATTACATTATTAATCAACACAAGGATTACAACATCGCCTGTAATCCTTTTCTTTGGGGGTTAATTACATAAATAAAGGCCTGTGTAAGTGTTGGAACATGGTTTGCCCATGGGCTATTAGCCCAACCCTCATTTTAGACCCCAAAGTCTAATAAATATTGTGTATAGACCCGGCACACTAGTCTCGCTCTTGCCTCTGAGTCAGAAGGTTGTGAGTTCAAGGCCCACATCGGGACTTGGAATCACATAGTCTAAGTGTGCTGCATTGTCGGAGGTGCCATTCTTCAGATGAGACAGTAAACCGAGGTCCATCTACCTGTTCAAGTGGATGTTAAAGATCCCATTGGCACTATTCAAAAAGAGAAAGGAGTTTCTCCCAGAGTTCTGGCTAAGAATCCCTCGAATAAAATTGGTCACTCACTCCATGGTTGTTTGTGGGACATTGCAGTGCACAACTGTCTGCTGCATTTCAACCAAAAATACAGTCAATCAGCTTTACAGTATATCCTGAAGCACTTTGAAATGTTTCAACGACGTGAAAAGGAGCTATATCAAAATGCAAGAATTATTAACTCACTAGTTAATTACCTTAAAAATGTGACTGATTTTTTACGCAGGCAGGATTTCCTCCTGGAGTGGTGAATATTGTACCAGGATATGGAACTACAGCAGGAGCTGCCATAGCCAATCATATGGACATAGAGAAAGTGGCCTTCACTGGTTCAACTGAGGTACCTTGAAAGAAATATGTATGTACTCAACTGAGTTTAGATCTTTTCAGAGTTTGCTGTCGGTGCTGGTAGTAATTGTTAGTGCCTTGAGACGTCCTCCCGACGTGAAAGGTGCTATATAAATGTAATTTGTATTGGAATTTTGTACTGTTACTTATGAAAGGTTACAAGTGTAACTTCCTTGATTTCACATGGGGCTCTCAGAGGTAGAAACAAAGCGTTGGATGGTATTCAGATCCTTAATGTAGGGAAGAATATTCACTTAAATTCAATAGAGGACTGAGATTTGGAGATCAAAAGATTCAGCATCTATGAATCAGAATTTCCTTCCTAAATGCAGATGTCAATTCCCAGCACACAAACAGGATAAAGCTGCACTAGACTGCCAGGGACTGTGAAGGTACAGAATCCAGCCTTGAATATACTATTTACTATTATTATAAATACATCTGTATAGGTACAATTGTTGTGAATCAGCAGCAGAGACAATTCTGAAAAATAGTAGACGTAATTGTAATTTTAAAATATTATTATATTAAAATATTAAAATATTGAGTACTTTGCACAGGTGAAAGAACATTGTGAGTAATAAGGGGAATGAGGCTTGTGTCTTCTTGTGAACAAAGTGATGGAGATGAACTCTTATATTGAAAAATTTCATTTCCACCCTCCTTTCAGGTTGGTAAACTTATACAGGAGGCAGCAGGAAGGAGTAATCTAAAGAGAGTAACCCTGGAGCTTGGAGGGAAGAACCCCAACATCATATTCGCTGATGCAGACTGTTAGTATTACAAAGTTATTTCTATTTTATCATTGCATGTTGAACAGATTCTTTCCCATTACATCTTATTATCACTTCTAACCCTCTCCATTTGCCATCACTTAATGGGTTGAATGGCTTCTGCTGTGCTGTAAATGTTTTATGACTCTATGATATGTTAACTGCTTAGACAGACAGACAGACAGACAGACAGACATAGCATAGCAATATTTCACTTGGGTGCAGGATGCCAATGGCAAAATTTCAAACATGCAAAACTAATTTAATGCAATACCAGAATTGCAGAATTGTGAAGTCTTGTAGCTCAGTGGTTAGAGCACTTGCCCCGCCTCACAAGGGAATACCTGAATGGACAGACCTCAGCTTAATGACTGACCCAAAGGACAGTACTTCTGACAGTGGAGCACACCCCCAGCACTCCCATGGAATGTCAGCCTAGACTATTAGCTCAATATATATTTATTTTAACCTACCTTAATGAAGCCTCCGCTCGGTCCAAACACACTTCTTGGAAAAGTCATATAGGAGCTACTGGAATATATTTTATAGAAACACAACAATGGATTTGAACCCTTACAAATACCATGTGAAAGATCTTCAATGATGTCCCACATTACCAGCAAATTATTTTTCTAATTTGACTTCTTTTTTTCCCACAGTGGATTATGCTGTTCAACAGGCACATCATGGCTTGTTCTTCAATCAGGGACAGTGCTGTTTGGCAGGATCCAGAATATTTGTGGAAGAATCCATCTACAAAGAATTTGTCCGCAAAAGCACTGAGTTAGCCCAAAAGCATGTAATAGGAAATCCTCTACATGTATCCGTCACTCATGGGCCACAGGTACTAATGAATTGATGTTACTGTGTTAGTTCTCTGATAAAACTGAGCTAAAATATGTTATAAATATATATATTTGTGCCACTTTTATCTCCTCTTCCCCCGACGGTATTAACTTGAAGGCACGGACTATAGGCAAGATCCTGTTTTCATCAACAATGGCAAGCTATTCCATTTTAACTGGTTAATGTTAAACAATAGGGATACAAAGTCTGGGATCCCCAAGCCTTGACTCTTGGCAATCTGTGTTTAATACTGTCTCAAAGTGCTCCGGGTTGCTATCCCGGGTGAAGGGAGCTATATAAATGCAAGTTGTTGTTGATGGAATTAGGTAAGCAGAGTGCATCATTCTGGTAAGAGAGCATATTCCATTCCAGATACGGAAATTTCCATGAGTAGGTGGCTTGTATGGAACTCTCAATCTGGTTTGGATACTCTTAAGCACGGTGATGGGTTTTCATTTGTGTCAGACACCCAGCTGATCCCCCCAAAGTGATCAACTTCCATACATTTCATTTTCAGCAAGTGTCACTAGATAGGTAGTGAATAGGAGCAGGCAACCCAGGTTGATTTTCCATTTTGTTCTGAATTACAATTTAAAGTGTAAATCAGATAAAAGACAACTCTTCAGTCATGAATTTTCAAATTTGATGTGCATGAGCAACAATGGCAAGCTATGCTGGTTTACCTGGTTAAACAATACGGATGCAAACTCTGGGATCAGATATCCTTTATCTGATTCCCGACTGTTCAGCACCTTGGGACGTCCTCCTGATGTGAAAGGCGCTTTACAAATGTAATTTTGTTGTTTGGTGTTGTTGTATTCCCCATATTGCCATTTTGTACCTATAGAACGATTAGGAACCTTTAAAGTCAGAATTTACCAATTTTTACAGTACAAATGGATCAGTAAAAAAATATTTTTTTCCGATTCCCCCTCCTCCCAAAATTCTTCAGCTATTTTCAAGGACTTTTTTCAACATCTGAGGTGTGTCACATTGACCTTTGAACATGCAATGTGCTTCAGGATGAATTTTTGCCACTCAAGTGCACTATTCGGAGTCAGGAAAAATTATCTGAAAGTTAAGAAGCTGTTTGGAATTTTCCTATAAAACATTTTTGCATTCTCTGGTTACCTTTAACATGGGTATAACATGTAAGCGAGTGGTAGAATTGGTTCTCATCATTTTTTGCTGAATTTATCTACATTCTTAGCACCAAAGTGTTTCCTGCTCAATTTTTTCCATCTATAATATGAGAAATAAAAGGCCAAAAAAATCCATATTTTACCTTGTGAATAATTTTCGGGGGGTAATAATCCCTTCAAGAAAAAATAATAATAACTTGGTCACTCGACAGTTTGTGGGACACTGCTGTGCGCAGTTGGCCACCGCGTTTCGCCCACAAAATATAAAAATAAAATAAAAAGTCAATTCACTTTACGGTATATTCTGTGAAGCACTTTGAGACATCTCAAAGACATGATAAGGTGCTATGTAAAATGCAAGGATTATTATTATGATACAATTGGTAACCCTCACTTCAGGAAGCCAGGACATGAAATTCTAACCTGAAAAAGGTGAAGTCATTTCAGTGATGCCAATAAGGATCAAAAGTGAGCTGATTGTGACAGTTTCAGCATAATCCACAATGGAAGAGTTGACATCTGAAAATTATCTGCAACCTGACACCTAAAAGCAGACAATGGAAACCCCGTTTATCGATGATTGTTGAGAATGGAGTTGAGGTGTATTGTGTGCACCATGTAAACGTATAGGGGCCTGACTTTACCATAGACCTGTGATATCTATAATCTGCTTAAAACTATTAATGGATTCAGTGGAGAAATATTCAGTAGATTTTAGTACTTAATCATCTTATTAAACTTAATCACAATTCTGTGCTTGGTCATTCTTGATTATTATAAATATATGCAATTTTAATACAATTTGTTAATTAACTGAATTGTTGAAGATAGATAAAGGTTTGCTTCTGATTTGTTAAAAGGAAATGCATGACTGTGACCTAATTCTTTCATATCCCACATATTTGTCATATATCCCAGCATTGGCAAAATGTGACAATGGAGTGGCTATCAGTCTTTAAATATGATACTGTAACAGTAAAGTCATTCACATCAGCATTTCAGTGCTATCTGGTAACAACAAATTTTACAAATTGCAATAAATTGTCTTTCCAAGACAGAGTTAAAGGAAAACTATGGTACAGTATTGTAGAATTCACTGAGCCAGTTAATGACTCATAGCTGCAAGAAGGAATAATGTCCCATTTAAAAGGATAGTGTCCTAAAGAGTATGAGGTTATGTACTTGAGATCTAACATCTTACATCTCTTATATGTATATTATATACCTTTGCTGGCTGCTACAGCAGACAAAGCTCAGTGCTTACACGTTCAGTTTGTGTCTGGAAAATGACTTCTTTATGATGTGTAACTGTTTATGTGGTGCAGTCAGCAGAATAGCACATGACTGTTTTATAGGCGGCTGTATTATGTTTTACTAGTAGAGAATATTGCATACAGGGAACAATAATAAAGCAAGTTGCCCATTTTCCAGAATATGATTTATTTTTGTTAAAAATCTATTGTGACCATCATGAATTGTTTGAAGGTTAAATCAAACTCTCTGCACAGCAATCCAATCTTCGTGGGAACCGATTACATTTAAATTGACATTTCTGAGCAATTCCTCCCAAGATTTTATTTCACTGGAATTAGCCAATCATTCTCTCTGACAAAACATGAGGAAACATGACTAACTAGTGACAAGCATTGCCCACATGCTCAAATTGGATCTCATACACAAGTTGGGTTAATGCATGTGTACAGATAATTACGGATGTCCTTGGTTATGTAATTAATAAAACGGCTCAAAAAATACCCAGTGAATAGATAAAAGATTTCAAATTAATAGGGGCATATCTTAGTTGTAATGCTGTGAACAATCTGAAGCACAATTTAAGTCACAAAGTCAGAAGTGGGAATTATAATTAAAGAAACCCTATGGGTTTGGTACACAATAGCTAACACTCTGTGAAAAGTGCTCTGTGACCTACATTTCACCTGGTCTATGCCTTAAAATTAAAATCATGCTTTTTATTCAAAATTACTTAATCTAGTCTGTATTTGGAAAATAGTTTTTAAAAGCATAATATTCTGGAAATTGGTCAGTTGCCTTATTATAGTTCAGTATTCTCTACTAGTGAAGACATCAAAACTTGGAATCCATATAGTCTAAATGCTAACACTCCAGTGCAGTCTTGGGGTTGTACTGCATTGTAGGAGTTGCCTTCCTTCAGATGAGATTTAAACCAAGGTCCTGTTTGCCTGTTCATGATCTAAGGTACCATTCAAAAACTGGATGGAGCTTCTCCCAGTGCCCTGGCCAAAAATCCTGTAAATAAAATTGATTTTCACTTCACGACTGTTTGTGGAACATTGCTATGCACAAATTGGTTGCTGCATTTTCCCACAAAACACTCGCTACTAATCCCAATAAGGCCAGAATCTACTTGAGGGCAAGATTGCACTACATTTTGACATTTCCTCCAGTGTTTGAATGCCACTAAGTTCCTAAGAGGAATAGGATATTCCTAAGAGGAATAGGATATTCCTCTCAGAAAACAAAGTGCACTGTTTGCAATGGAAATCCACCAGGCTATTGGCTGCAGACTTCCCTTCTTTTGATTGAATGTTGTGCTTGTTAAAATGAAATCTCTAATTTCCCTTTTTTGCACCATGCTACACTTAGATCAAAATTGCCGAGACTAAACATTTCAGATACATTTATTCCAGTCTTAACAACAAACAACAACAACAAAATTACATTTGTAGAGCGCTTTTCACGTCGTGAGGACGTCCCAAAGCGCTGAAACAGTATTTGTAGAGATGAAATCCATAGCCTCTTCTGTCTGAGGTTCTTTTCCACTAAGTAAGTTTCAAAATGCCATCATGATCACATTTGGAGTGGAGTCCTGTAGCTCAGTGGTTAAAGCACTTGCTTTGCAAGTGAGAGACCCAGATTCGATTCCCGGCAGGATGAAACCTTGGGCAAGTTTCCTTACTCCACATACCTGATGATAATCCCTCAAAAAATCATAATAAATTGGTCATTTCAATCCATGACCGTTTGTGGGACACTACAGTGCGCAATTGGCTGCCGCATTCGCCCAGAAATATACAGTCAATCCACTTTACAGTCTATTCTGTGAAGCGTTTTGAGACATCTTGAAGACATGAAAAGTGCTATATCAAATGCAAGGATTATTATTATTTATATACTGGTAAATCCTTCTCTATCCTCCGCATCCAAGCTTCTAGAGTAACTGGTAAGAACACCCATTATAGGTTTCTTATACTTACAATCATAGATTCACAGAATTATACAGCACAGAAGCAGGCCATTCAGCCCATCGTGTCTGTCCTGGCTCTTTGAAAGAGCTATCCAAATGAGTCCCACTTCCCCGCTCTCTCCCCATAGCCCTGCAAATTTGTCCTCCCCAATTTTTATATGAGATTTCCCACTATCACCAGCATCAATCCAACCTTTTTCCAGCAATGTGTTCCATTTGTTAATTACCCTCTGGGTAAAGAAATACTTCCTTGTATCAAATGCTTTGATAATAATAGTAAAATATTAAAATATTGAAATAAGGTCTCCCAACTGAGAGTAGAAAACAGTATTGACAGAATCTTTGACAATTTTGACCATCCGTAGCCCCCACTGTGTGCCAACCTGAAACTCTCCAAAGTTGAAAATAAGAAGGTCTTCCCCGACTTACATTGTTAATTTTTGCAGTGGGAGTAAGCCAGGTGGGAGGGGGGGGTGAGGAGGGGTAGCTGAGGAAGGGAGAGAAAATAGACGAAAGGGTGGTTGAAGCCATGGGTCTTGAAGCAGGTTTTGAAGATGGTGGGGGGAGGTGGATGGAATTCCAGAGAATAGGAGCTGAATGTTTGAATACAACAACAAATTACATTTGTATAGCGCCTTTCATATCAGGAGGACGTCCCAAAGTAGTGACATGCATCCATCGATGGTGGGGTGGATCAGGCAAGGGACATGAAGCAGGCCAATGTTTGCCGAGCGACGGGAGCAGCCAGGGACACACAAAACCAAATAAAATAAAGAACAGTTCAGTTGTAAATGAAACTTCAACATATACAAGGTATTTTTTGCATGAAACTTTCTTAAATAGAAGTGCTCAGACATTTGCAAACATAAGTGGTTTTAGTTGGAAAAATATACTAACTTATTTTCTGTGGTACAATTTTCAGATTGACAAAGCACAATATGATAAAATCCTCAATTTAATTGAGAGTGGGAAGAAGGAAGGAGCCAAGCTGGAGTGCGGAGGTTTGCCTTGGGGAGATAAAGGCTTCTACATTCAGCCTACAGTATTCTCAGATGTCACAGATGAGATGCGCATTGCCAAGGAAGAGGTAATATAGAGATAGATACATGCCAGCTGGTATTGCACTTATATCTTTTAGAGTTCTATTCCTCATTTGGAACTGCTCGCTAGAAAGGGGAATATGTTTTGTTTGAGTGTTTAAATAACAATCCTTTCTTGGGCTGCTTGTTAACTCTGACAGTATTATGCCTGAGTAAGGATCCTGACACATGATGTCAGTCTAGCTAACTTGATAAAGACCCAGTTTGTGATGCTGGATTATTCCACCTCGGGGGAGGAAATATTGGCAAAGGTTCTATCACACACCAGAAAAGCATACCTCCTAACAACCCATCAAGGAACAGTATTGTTAACAGCCATAAAGTCTGCAGTTCAGATCATCCGAGCTGACTGGGTTCAAAGGAATGTAACAATGTGGAATACAGCTGGAAATGTTGGATTTATTTTATTAACAAAAATAATATTATCTCACAGGAATCTAGGCATGTGCAGAACAGGGAAAGAACATGGCAGTCCATCTGGCTTGACCCATTTTCACATACCATCTCTCAAGCTCTCACATATTCCCAAATATACTGCCATAAATAATAAAGCCAATTCCTTCTTGAAACCACACTATCCTCCTCAACAACCCCCTTTCAATCTTCTAATTGGATTGAGCTTTTAAAGCACTTCATTAATGTACTTTAAATAAACACTTAAACTCGCACAAGTTTTATCATTCAGGACCATAACATTTAATATGACTTACACAAAGTATGAATAACAGGCAAACTTGTATAAATCAAATAAAATTCAATTTAATCAACAATCTACACTGCGCATGCATAGTTCAGTGCAGCCAATATGTGGTAATGAGTCAAGACTATGTTTCCCTCGATTCAAAGCATGTTCACCCATCTCCGCATTCCCACTTACCAGCAACTATTGCAATTACATTGAATCACGGAAAATGAAGTTCTTCTGCACACGCGGAGACAGGTCAAAATTACGTTTCCAGTGATTCAATGCAGCCCTTGCAAGTAAGTGTGCATGCATCGATGGGTCAAGACGTAATTTCCCGCGATTCAATACAGCCGAGAGTTATGGAGGATAGGGCAGCAGTGTTACGAGTTAGGAGATGATTTGTTTATAAAATAAGACTAGTGCAAAAAAAGTAAGTGTTTTGATAAGAAGCTTGGGTGCACTATGACTTAGACAATTATACGATTTATAAAGATAAGACTTATGCAAGTTTTACTGTGTATGTGTATACATATTTACAGTGTAGGTATATATATATAAACAATTAACACATTCTGAAAGCATTAGTCCAATCAGTCCTGATTTAGAATACTGTCATCCTTCAGGCTGGCAATTCCCAGCTTGATAAATTTCCTTAACACTTGATTTTTCTCTTTTATTTGGAAAGATCTTTGGGCCAGTGCAACAGATCTTCAAGTTTAAAGCAATAGATGAAGTTATTAAGAGAGCCAACAATACCCAATATGGTTTGGTTGCTGCAGTTTTCACCAAAGACATTAATAAAGCCATGACATTGGCTTCAGCTCTTCAAGCTGGTACTGTTTGGTAAGTATCTTGAGATATAATCTATTTCAATTTTATACTGGGAAATCTTGTTATAATATGGTCATCTATGGTCATCTATCAATAGTGCAGATACCATGTTACAGAAAAATAGACGACTTCCATGTGGTTAGGTTGACACTGAAGTCACTTCTGCGCACATGGAAACACATGTGAATAGTACAACAACAACTTACATTTATATAGCCCCCTTCCCTGGGCAGCATCTTGGAGTACTTGAATTTTGTTAATATCACTTCCTGTGCACTGCACATATGTATTATGCACAAGCACTGCTGACATGACCAGTATGGCTCAACAAGTGCTGGAAGTGACATCAGGAATGCTTTCTGCACAGAGGAAGTGATGAAGGCACCATTTTTTTTATGTAGAAGCCAACTAATCAGCACATGAAGCTGGGGAACCAGTGCTATAACCCAAACCTTGCTAAAACAAAGAGTGACATAATAAGGTTGCCTTATAAAATTCAGTGATGTTTTCACACAGCTCTGCTGGTAAAATAGGAGTTCTACTGTGTTGCATTACAATATTAATATTCCTGCAGGGTTAACTGCTACAATGCCCTGCACGTTCAGAGTCCTTTTGGTGGATTTAAAATGTCTGGAAATGGTAGAGAAATGTAAGTATTGAAAATGAATATGAGTTCTTATTTATTTAACTCTTTACTGTTTCTAAAGGATATTGATGACCTTATTGTGAATGAATGTGATGTTTTGGGTTGGACATCACTTTATGCTGCAAAGCACATGATAATCTGTAGAAACAAGTGTCTGGTTGTGAGAAAGTTGGGATTTTTAGCTGCTTCATGACCAACATGGAGACATTAAGGAGAAAATATGTTTAAGACCCAACATTTGCAAGATTGCGGTTGGGATAGAGTTAAAACATTTTTAATGAGATTGACCTTCCAGTATAGGATTATAGCTCATTGTGCAAAACTCAGGTTGATCTGACGTAAATTATACACAAAGGACCAAAATGGTCCCATGGATGTACACATTTATTTCTCAAAAGTAACATTGGTAATGTCAAGGAGGATAATTTTCAATATTTGTAAATTCAAGTATGTTGTTGTAAATTGATTTGTAAATAGCAAATCCTTTAGTTATCCGATAGGTCCAAATTCCACCTACTCTTAAACTGTGTTTACATTGTAAGATTTAGCTAATTGTGCAGAATCGGGAACAAAAATTCAATTTAGTCTTAATTACCATAGCACATAAGAAGAACCAGCTTCAAAATTAAAATTGATTTAAGAATGTTCTACAATTCTGCGCGATAGTTAAATTTAAAGCAAAATTCGCTTTTTTGTAGACTAAGACTAGATAGAATTTTGGACCTTGAATATCTAGGGTCAACTTTTCAGAACTCAGCACTGTTGCTAATCTCCTGGCCACTGGAAGCCCCTTTTAAATGCAATCTTGTTTCATGGATCAGAATCTGAACTAATAGTTGGAGCAGAGAACTAGAGGGCTAGCCTGAGATCCATTCTAGGAACTTGGAAGTATTTGATTTGAGAATCTCACATTTTAGAGCCCAATACCACCCCCACCCCTCATGCCCATTTAAAAAATAAAAAGCTTGTGACATGAAAATAAAATCATCCCTCCAAGCCCATTCCCTTCACAGCCAAAAAGGTACCGAATTATGTACTTAACCACATCTTTTCCAGAGAAAACTTAACAAACTGATTGCTGTGTTTGCTTTCAAAATACAAAATTTCAAAACATGTACAGTAAAGCACTTTGAGACATCCTCTCGATAACACATACCAGTAAAATTAATTTATTGTTTAAAAATTCCCAAATCGCAAAATTAAATTGGGGAAAGGTTTCAAACATTTAGTATTTGTTCATCTCATGTGTAAACATTTACATCTCAATGGAAACTCAATCTCAGGTTGCATTATTCCCTAAATCCTTCAATACTGCTCTCAAGTAATGTTTCACAATGACATGGTTTTAATTGGTTTAATTTCAGCAGTACAGCCCTCCAACTTGTACTCTAGGGTCCCCAAGCCTTGGCTCCTACCAACCTGTGCCTGATACCTTCTGGGAAGGGCGTGTGCAGAAAATTTCCAAGCATAGATGACATGAGGATGTGGATACTCTTAAGCATAGCAATGGGTTTCTATGTGCGTCAGACACCCAGCTGACCAAACTAAGAAACACAGATTTCATCGAGTTCTTATTTGATGCAGGCTGCATATAATTTAATTCAGTGACTAGTGAATGTAATTGTTTTAATGTTGATTTTCCCTAGGGGAGAATATGGTCTCCAGGAATACACAGAGGTAAAGACGATCACCATCAAAATTCCTCAGAAAAATTCGTAAGATGTCCTAAAGCAAAATACTTAATGCCTCAAGATTTAGGAACAGACTGGATACCACAACAGGAAGATTTTTAAACGACGACCGTTCAGTGAATACTGTTTCATCTGTGTGGTTTCATAATCATGCAGACCAATGTTTTGAAGCTGCTGTGGCTCACAAAGCTTTAACAATAATATGTGTTAGTAGTATTCATCCCATAGTATTTATGTAGCAAAACTCAACAGAAATGTTTAAAGTTTTACTTGTTTTCAGTTTGAAATCTTTATTTCTAGCACTTCTGACTTGTCATAAATAAAAGTCTTATCTCAGCAACTTCAGTCAAAGTGGTTACTGTCACCTATCTTTTGTCATTTAAAAAAAATGATTTCAGTGATGTTTACTAAGCCTGGAAATTGCTTTGCTTTTATAGGTGCATTATTTGAAATGTCAATGAACTGCCTGGCTTATTTAAGATCAATTATTTTTAAACAATTTTGTCAGACAGAAAGTGAATTATTAAAATGAAACCATAATGAATCATTTTCATAACAAAATGGGGAATACAAGCTTCGACAAGTACACAAATCAATTCCCTGTTACAACCAAGCGGAGAACTATATGGCTCAGTTGATTAGGTTCTGATCTCTATTTTAGAAGAATGGGGGATTAAGACACATATCTGGACTTGAATTCGAAGTCAAGACTTACACTTCAGTGCAGTACTGAGGAATGATGCATTGTCAAAAGGTGCTGTCTTTTAAATGAGCTATTAAACCAAGGTCCTGCCTGCCTGATTGTCAGGTGGACAGTACGCTTCCCATGATATTGTATGAAAAGAGAAAGGAGCTTTTCCTGGTATTCCTTGGCCAACCGTTCCCCCAGATTAATTTAGTCACAAAATATTGTGTGGGGCAAATGACTTACACTTTTACTTACAGTACACTTGACTATAATTTGCAAAGCACTTTGAGATGTTTAAACATGATATGGCATATTTAAACATGATAAGACAGGTTCTTTTGTGTTTTCTCGTATGCTTTTCATTGTGGTTTATTTATTCTAATTCAAACCTTGGTGATCAATGGATGGTGCAGTCCACATCAACGTATGAAGTAGATCCTGCTAAATTTTCTTTTCGATCCCCTAGTCGTTTATATTTATCCTAATTGTGTTCCCTGGTTACAGACTCCCTAGCCCGTGGGAACAGCCTATCAACCTTGTCTGCCTGCATCAATCCCTCCATTTATTCAATAACGTTGTAGGAAGAAAGAGAAAGCTGTAATTTGTCTTAAATTGCATTTTATTAAAAGAAAAGCAAATCTTAGTTGAAATAAAAAAGCACTTGGAGACAGGTTTTTATGCGGCTACCAACATTTATGCAGTATCAACATTTTCTTATGGTTTCATATCAAAACACAGAGTCAAAGGTCATATGTCACACTAGATTATTATCAGTCGCTCTGATTCCAACTAAAAGTTTTTCCTATAGTAACTGATGATAAACTGGTGATTTTGTTTACATCCAAAAGATCCAATTATTACATGCCTATGTAGTTGAGGAAGCTATTTTCTATGTATAACTGGCTCCAAGGCCTCAAAGTAAAACGTGATGTCCAGAATCATAGAATTTTACACCCATTTTGCCACCTCTGAAAGAGCTATGTATTTAAACCCACCAATGGTATTTTACATTTGAGTTTTGCAAATATTTGCCAATTTCCCTTTTAAAAGTATAATCAACATACTGAGGAAGAAGCAGCACTGGTTTGAAATTTAACCCTGGAACAATGGACATGACAGCCTGATCTTGTCTGCCTAACTCAATCCTTCCACCTCACTCTCAATTTATGTCTTTGAAACCAAACTTAAGGCCTTCTTTGACTGTGCCAAAGGTCACTGCCCCCTGCTCCGTTGCTCTGCATTCAACCCCACTACTGTGTAGCACTCTAAGACTTAATACTGCATGAAGGGCACTATAAAATGCAAGTTGTGTTGTTCAATGATTTTCTTGTCCCTACGATTGTGCATCAGGAAGCGCCAACCTTACCTCGGTGGCAATTTTCTAACCACCTGCAGGAGAGGATGTCTTTCTCAATTGCTAGATCTATGAAGGACTTATGCAAAATCTGAGTTCCAGGCAAACATGTACAAATTGTATAAAATCTGATTTAATGTATAATTCACACATGGGTAATTCAATACAGCCTGTAAGCGCGCATCTGCTATTTCTGCACTACAGCTAGTAAGTGCTAATGATGTGATATAATAATAATCCTTGTGATGGATCAAGACTACAATTCCTGTGATTCAATGCTTCTTGACCAGTTGCCGCATGTGCACTTACCGGCAAGCATTGGAAACATATTGAATCATGTACAAGTAAGTTCTTCTGCACATGTGGCAATGGATCAAGATAGCATTTCCCGCACTTCAATGTAGGCGGCCAGTAGTGTGCGTGCTGTGACGGATCAAGACATCATTTCCTGTGATTCAATGGAGCCGGTAAGTGTGGGAGTAATGGAGGATAGGGGAGCCGTGTGACGAGTTAGGAGATGAATAATACAACTACAGCAAATAAACCTCAGTGGTTTTAATAGGAAGCCGAATGGGATTCGGTGCGACTTAGATGCTTATATGATTGATAAGGATACAAGTTTTATACAAGGATGTAATGATAGACTGTCATAAATGGTGCACCTGTTTTAGCTTTAGCCACTACGTCTGCTGTGATAAGATCTGAAATTCAGTGTAAATTTGGAAGTTGTTTATCCACAGCTCTTAAAAAAACATCTTCCAAATTAACATTGAATTAAAAAAATTCCACATTTCTGCGCCACGACTGCGTGAGGGGTGTTATAGAAATGCAAGTTGTTGTTGTTATCTTAATTCTGAAGCAAAATGGTCTTACAGGCTAAGTAGGACTGGGTGAAAATTTCAGGCTTGATGTGCTCATCATCATCATTGTAGATTGCAGGTGTGGGTCCACTTCCTGTCATAAAACATCTGCAAAATCAAAATCTATGAACAAGTTATTTAATCTTCTGTTAAAGAAATTAGTTAAAAGATGACGGAGTTTTTGTGATATACATGGGCTCGATATTCTATTTCAGTCCTCAAAGGGCTTTGCTACTTTTTCTTCATTGGAACATAGAATTGTCCATTCCAATCTATGGATATATTCCAATTCAATCCATTGCTTTTCTTTACTAAGTGAGGTCTCTATCGCATCCTCCCTAGGATATGAAGTGAGACAAATTGATTTGTCAATCGGGCCCAATTAATTAATTGTAAATCATCCTCTATGTTGTGCCATTCCATTCTCTGGCAAACAATTTTTCCAGTCATGCAGTAAATAAAGAATAATGTAAAAATTAGCTATAATATAATTACTGCTCCCATGATTTATGGTGCCAATGAATTTAACAGTCAGATTACTGCCAAAGCAGCTTGGGAATCAAAATTCAACATCTATTACTTATTAGTGAATGCTGTTCATAATGGTCATTAATACAAAGTCAAACTCCAGCCTGGGAATGATTAACACAATTTTAATCTATTTATATCAAAAAAGCAATTACTGCATTTGGTTGCCTTCAAACCCTAAATGGTTTCAAAAGAAACTTCAGAAGGTACCTCTCTGCTTGGGAAGAAAGAAAGGGAGCAACAAGGAAACTCATTAACTTCAAACACTATAGTGGTGTGTGCATCATTTTGAGGATTGGGTGACTTAATGATACCCATAATTTAATAGCAACAATCCTCTTGTACAATGGTGGCCAACCTGTGGCCCGTGAGCTGGAAGCAACCCATGGGACCATCAAGAAGCAGCCCCCACGAACATTTGCACAAATCTAGATAAGTACACATTCAATCAATAGCGTGTTTCAGTTTTTTTCTTAATTAAATATTTCTTTATTTATGCTATGAATCAAGAAATATGCATTCAAATATTTTTGTTGTTGGCCGACAATAAAGGTTGGCCTTACCGTAGTTTAGTGCCTTGGCTGTCGAGGGACAGGGGCACGAGGACGAGGCCCTGGGACTCCTGGTCTTGGTTGTCCTGGTAAATGGGCCATTGATCTCGGCCCTGGTGGCTTTGTTACCACCATTCGCGGTGGTGGAGCCAATCTCACTTCTCTTCCATTTGGGGTTCTTGTTCCTCCACCGGTGACTGGCTGTTTATTGGCTTTTTTGTTTTTGTCCACACTTGCGTTTGCTCCTTGAATAAAAAAAAGTCACTGCTTGTCTGTAGCCAAATTTCATTTTAACAGACTGATCATAATAATAATCCTTGCATTTGATATAGTGCCTTTCAAGGCACTTCACACCAGTACCTATGTATTTTGTGGGTGAAACTCAGCAGCCAGTTTGTGTACAGCAATGTCCCACAAACAGCCATGGAGCGAACAAAACAGAAAATACAATGTTTTCAAATACAGAACATGTAAGACTCAAGATTGTGTAACAACAATTTATATAGTCGAGTAGAATCTCAAAGTGCTTCACCGAGCTGACTTGGAGCCGGGTGGGGGGTGCGCAGAAAGAAGATAGCTGAAAGTATAGTCAAAGAGATAGGGTTTGAGATGGGTTTTGAAGGCAAACAGATAGGGGGCAAGGCGGAGGGACTCCAGAATGCAGCAAAGGGGAACAGAGTGGTGGAAAACTCATCGGTTGAGGGTGGGGCAGAGTGGACAAGGAGCATTAAGCAAGTTGGTGTTATCTCAGAAGAGGGAGCAAAATGGAGCAGCAGGGCCACAAGAGATCATAGTGGGGTGAGGTACTTCACTTTACATTATGTTCTGTGAAGCATTTTCAGACACCGCAAAGACGTGATAAGGCGCTATATCAAATACAAGGATTATTATTATATCTGTATACTATAAAGATTTATTTAGGGAATTTTCTGAACTTTGACAATGAAAACGGCAGGTGGTGCAGGAAAAAATTGGCAAAGGTAAATTTCAACAAACTGCTCCTCTTGCAAACTACAAAAGTAAAGTTCAATCTCACCTGGCTCAGGAGTGGGGACATTTCCTCTCTTTGGTAGCAAATCTTCCAAGTCTTTCAACACAGGATTGACAACGTTTTTATTGTGCCTTCTGCTCTTTTGTTCATCGCGTTGCTTTCACAAGAAAGACCCAGCATGAATAATTTTGGTACAAGATAGTAATATATAGTAAAATGGCCCAGAGGAAGGTTAGACACAGAAACAACGGGGTGAAAAAATATGAAGTTGCAAGATTTTAAGACCTGATGTTTTGGAGTTCTATGGTGCAGCCCTAAATTTTTGTTCCCAAAACAATAAAATACATTTCATATTTCCATCCAATTCTAAAGACTTTGTGGTTTCTATTATTATATAAACAAGGAAATTATGAGTAGACAATTTAGGCAGACAATTAGAGAGTTTTGAAAGGAAATGTCTCCAAAGCGACCTTAGAGATATACAACATTTTGAAAGCGATGGAAAAATTAAACTCAGAACAATGCTTTCAGAAGCAAAGAGCACATAGATGTAGGGTTACCAAGGAAACCTTCAGGAGAGACACCAGGATTTATTTCCTTGCCCAGAAGAATATTAATGACTAGAACAAGTTACCAGGAAGGATGGTTGATGCCATGTCACTGGACTGATTTAAAAAGCAGCTTGATGCTGTGATGGGGGTGGGTGTTCTGGAAGGGTGAGAACTGGAAGGCTGAGTGGCCTTCTTTATCCGAACCAATCTTGTGAACTTCAGGATTAGTTGCAGTATAACTGAGTTTCACTGGGGCCAGTCCTGAGCTATTACAATCAATTGTTCATAGCCACATTAGATAGTGCTGTCATATTTGGGGTAACATTAATGCTGAGCATTAATTTATGCAACATTGCATGGAATGCTTTCCATTTCATACAGAGACATTTCCATGTGTAGGTGATTTAGATACATGCAATTTTCTGTTTGGTTTGGATACTCTTAAAAATGGTGATGGGTTTCCGAATGTGTCCAACACCTGGCTGACCAAAGACTGAATGCAGCGTTAGCAATTTTCAACAATAACTTACCATTTGCATCTTCTTTTTCAGCTCCAGATTTGCTACCTCATATGTTTTTGAACTTGCATTGAGATAATATATGGCCAAGCTATATATAAAAAAACACTCGCTGAAACATAAGCCAACTTTTTTTGGGAGGTGGGATTAAGACACAGCATATTAAGGAATCATTTTACAGATTTACACATCCACAATGACAATTGGTCTCTCTTTCTGACTTATAATGAAGATCATGTTTGCTCACCAGAGGGCTGCCTCAGACTTCAGAGCAAGTCACAGGTTCTGTCTCAACCCCTCTCCTCTCAGGAACTTTACTTATTTCCGTACACTCCACAGTACAAATTGAAGCACCTGCGTTGATTGAACCTTTTGGTCACAGTACATGTAGTTACTGTATGATTGTTTCCCACATCCAGTCAAGTTTTTATGCTAAAATGGATGACTTTCAGGACATTAGGTCACTTCTGATATGACTTCCTACTTTTCCATGCACGCATAACACAGGAGGTGATATTGCAAGAGACTGAGTGATCCAGAAATTAGACATGTTTAACTCCTTGGGCTTTACAGATGTGAAGAAAACAGGGAGTAACCTTTTTTTTAGTGTGGAAATCAGTTGGCTGCGAGGACTATCAATGGAAGTCCACTATCATTTCTCACTATAGTACAGGTAGAGATTTTATGAATCCTAAACAACAACAACAAGATTCCATTTATAAAGCGCCTTTCACGTCAGGAGGACGTCCCAAGGCGCTGCACAGTTGGGTCATGACCTGAGCAGGGGGGAAATGGTCAGGGTGAGGGGAGGGAAGGGAGGGAGCGAGGAGGGGAGAAATGGTCAGGGTGAGGGGAGGGAAGGGAGGGAGCAAGGAGGGGGAAGAGAGTCGAGAGGGGAGCTGAAGGCACGGTCAAAGAGAAAGGTTTTGAGACCGGCCTTGAAGGAGGAAAGGGAGGAAGCAAGGTGAAGGCACTGGGGGATAGAGTTCCAGAGCCTGGGGCTGAGAGGCTGAAGGCCCGACCACCGATGGTAGGGCGATTGGGGCGGGGGACGTGGAGCAGACCGGAGCCAGAGGAACGGAGGGTACGGGCAGGTAGGTAGGGGGATAGTAGGTTGGAGAGGTAGGAGGGAGCAAGGCCGTGAATGGCCTTGTAGGTGAGGATGAGGATCTTGAAATCAATCCTCTGGGGGATGGGGAGCCAGTGGAGGCGAGCGAGGGTGGGAGTGATGTGGTCCCGAAGCCTGGTGCGGGACAGTACACGAGCTGCAGAGTTCTGGATGACCTGCAGCTTGTGGAGGGAGGTGGCGGGAAGGCCGGCGAGGAGAGAGTTCCCATAGTCCAGCCTTGAGGTGACAAAGGCGTGGACCAGGGTTTCAGCAGCGTGAGGGGTGAGGTAATGGCGTAGTCTGGCGATGTTCCGGAGGTGATGGAAGGCGGTGCCAGTTGTGGTGCGGATGTGAGGGAGAAAGGACAGCTCAGGGTCGAACAAAACGCCGAGGTTCCTGACTGGCTTTGAGAGGTGGAGAGTGCAGCCTTGGATGCTGATGGTGTCAGCGCCTGAGGTGCGGAGGCGCTGACGTGAGCCAATCAGGAGGGCCTCGGTTTTTCGCACGTTGAGCTGAAGAAAGTTGTCTCTCGTCCAGGACTCGATGTCGGACAGGCAGCTGTCAGGACATCGGTGGTCGTGGAGTTGAGAGTAGAGGAGGAAAGGTAGAGTTGGGTGTCATCCGCATACATGTGGAAGTTAACTCCATGTCTGCGGATGATGTCACCAAGGGGGAGCATATAGAGGGTGAAGAGGAGGGGACCGAGGACAGAGCCCTGAGGGACTCCACATGAGACAGTACGGGGGGTGGAGGAGAAGCCATTCGTCGAGACAAAGTGAAGACGGTGAGAAAGGTACGACCTAAACCACTCAAGGACAGTGCCTTGAAGGTTGAGGTGGGAGGACAAGCGGTGGAGTAGGATAGCGTGGTCGACCGTATCGAATGCTGCCGATAGGTCGAGGAGGACGAGGAGGCAGAGGGAGCCCTGGTCACAGATGGTCAGGATATCATTGGTGACCTTGACCAGGGCAGTTTCTGTGCTATGGGCAGCACGGAAACCTGACTGAAGGGGTTCGAAAAGAGAATGGGTGGAAAGGAAAGAGCGCAGTTGGGAGGCGACAACTCTTTCCAGGACCTTGGAGAGAAAGGGGAGGTTGCAGATGGGCCGGTAGCTTGATAGCTGCGACGCATCAAGGGAGGGTTTTTTCAGGGTGGGCGTGATGGTGGCAGTTTTTAAGGGAATGGGGACAGAGCCAGAGGAGAGGGAGAGGTTGATGATGTCGGTGATAAACAATACATTATAATGCAGTGTCACTGTAGGATTGCCGCCTTGCGGTCACTGGAGCAAATTACCTCTTAATGTCGCAATCGTACATTCATTCAAATGAGTGGATTTGAATCAAATCACAGCTCTTTCATTCCAATCATAGTTCTGACATCTCACTGTTCAAACTGCACATTAAAGGTCCATTGGTTTAATATACAACTGGAATAGATAATAAATTGAATAGATACAACTCAGATTTTGTTTGCATCTTGGATGTGGCAACCCTAACCATTGTATATTATAAAGTTACTAATTCGTAATATTAAAATTGCCAGATGCTAATGAACAACTGATAACTGAAAATAATTGTACATTTCAGAAACACAGTATTGACCTGTTATAACACAGTAGTTTGGGATTCCATGAAATCTCAACCCAGTGCTATATTGAGGGGTGATTGCCAGTCAGCGCCTCCACGTTCACTGTACATGCAACGTCATTGCAATGGCGCCAGGAAGCTAAACATGTCTGATTTTCATTGGAGCGCTAAACTGAGCAGTGCTTTGACTACAGAAAGGTATTATCAGTACTTCATTCATTGCTTATGAGTCTGTTTAATTTCAACTATAATTAATGCCTTCAGATATCGTTTGTTTTTCCTTTTATACCATCAACTAATCCATCTATTCACCACATGGAAATTTACAGACACTCTAGGAATACTGTATTAGTGTGTTTTGTTTTGTCATGGCCACTCCACTGATAATAATCCCATGTTATGTGCTTCTATATAATCAAACTCTATTCTTTAATAATAATACATTATTATTATTACTACTACTACTACATTAATTATATTCTTTGGTGACTATTTTCTTGACATTTGGATAAGAGGTGTGGCTTTATCCACATCAACTTATTTAAGAAATCGCTTGAGGCTGAAATAGGAAGACAGTAGAGAAGGTATTCAGGAAGGATGAGAATAAACAGGCCAAACTTTCTCTCTTTTGAACAGTAAAATAACCATAGATGGAGGATAAATAATAACTTACACCATGAGTAAGATTCCAGGGATAATCAGTCCTGGATTTGAAGCATAACTGAACAGCTTGCCAATAAATGCTGGGAAATCATACTCAATAGTTTCCTGAAGGACATCATACATCTTATTTTTCCCACTGTTCAGAGAGGAAAACAAATGACATTAAAACATGGTTTGAAGAATTCTCAAAGTTCAAAGATTCTGTTTCGTCTTCTAGGGTTGACAGGAATTAACAGCTAGAGTGGTCCTAGCTGGAATCTCTCACTTGTAAATTATGCAGTTTTAGCTGGTTAGACCCCAACATGCACCCTGGAGTCCCCAAGCTTTGGCTCTTGCCAATCAGTGGCAAATATCCTTTGAAATTACGTAAGCAGGATGTGTTTCTCTGAGGAAAGAGTGTGCAAACCATTTCATAAGCAGGAATTTCCATGTGTAGGTGGGATGCATGCAACTTTCAGTCTGATTTTGATATTCTTAAGCATGGTGATGGATTTCCACAAGTTTCAGACACTCGGCTGACAAAAAGAAAAGCTCAATGTTGCATTTCACCAGCTATTAATAATTTCTGTTTAAAATCAAATGTGTCCACAGTATTTTTCAGCCTGTAGATGCTTAGTCCTACACTTTGATGTTCCACTTTAAAATCACTAAAGTTACTTGGTTAGCTGGTCAGGGAATGGCCCATTCCTGCATCACTCAAGCACCACTTCCTGGTAAACTGATCAAAGAGCAGAATTAATAGGATTTTAGGAACTCCAAGTCATGAATAGCAAATCCTGCCTGTAACCAAAAATACATCATTCTGATTTGTAGGAACTGAACTCTTGAAGTAGAATTCATCAAAGTAGATTCCCGCAGATCAGTGACACATTTCCAATGACCAGCAGGGTCTAAATGTGTGGTTCAGAATTGCTATCCCAGGTAGAAAGTATTGCATTTTCAAATGGTATTATCCATTCCACTCTGGTCAGTCAGCTGATCCAATCAACATGTGGGAAGAGAGAAGTTGTTTAAAAAAAAGGATAAATCAGGTTGAAAGACAGGAGTGAAAGAAATTTCAACTTCAAAATCCCAGTATAAAAACCAAGAAGCCTAGTACATTGGTTGCATCATTAATTTTAGAGGCTTGACAGGCTTAAAGAAAAATATTCACGCACATCAGAATTGTAGTTAATTACCTGAATGGCCCACAATCAAACGAAGGGGTGAACGTCATTATGGTGTACACGACTGGTAATAAACTTAGGAAGAGGATCAACAATAGTAAAGCCATGTAAAAATTATTGGATCCGGATGCTTTGAAAACTCTTTCCTGAGGGACATTACAGCACATAACAGCCCAGCACTGAAAGTACATAGACGTCAAAAGCCGAAGAATATTGATACCAATGAGGCCAGGAGAATAGAAAGTTCCCATCCTGAAAAAAATAAGCATATTCTCCTTTTCAGTGTAAATAATGAAACACAATACTAATATAATTGAACAGCTGATAATACAGATTTATTCTGTTCTTGTCTCTCACTGCAAGTGGTGGGTTTCTACATGTGTAAGACACCCGGCTGACCATTAAAAAAACTAATTTTCTATATGAAACAAGTTAAATAAGTGATAATTGTTGACAGAGAAAGAAAAAAAACAGTAGCTCTGTCTTAACAAAATGGACAACCTATTTCAGTGGTGAGGCATTCTAGGAAATGTAACTCCTTCCTGTGATGAATATAACATTTTACATTTCTAGTGTAAATTGCTCTCTTTTTAGAGCATTCACTGCATCTGTTGTCTTGTTGTTGATGCCTATGAGCAGGTTTGGAGCTGAACTGGCTCCAAGGTGACATGCCTCGTAAAAGAATGTCAGAATCAACCCAGCCTTCTGGGCGGTCTCGGCAGTCCAGTTCCTGAGCCAGGCGGATCCGCACTATTCCAGGGCACTGCTGATGACAATACAGCCAGCCTGGCTCATCGGGAGGACCCGGAAGGGCAGACCAGTCACTGGGGGCAGGGAGTCATCCCACTCAGCTCCTGTTAACCCTGCAAGCCAAAGCACTAACAGGTAGGGTGGTCCTAGCTGGACAAACAGTGGGAAAGCTTGCCGGACAGCAATATCAATTTGAACTATGCAGTTTTAGCTGGTTAGACTCCAGCAGTACCCCAATGCACACTCTGGGGTCCCCAAGCCTTGGCTCTTGTTAACCTGCACCTAATATTTTCTGGAATTAGGCAAGCAGGATGCATCCCTCCAGGGAGAGAGTGCACATTCCATTCCAACAATCTCTCTCTGGGATTTCCATGTTTAGGTGGGAGGCATGGAAATCTCAGTTTAGTTTTGATACTCTTACGCATGGTGATGGGTTTCCACACGCGTCAGACACCCAGCTGACGAAATTTTTTTTTTCCTTTTTTCTTAAATTGTTGATGCCAATTGAATGGATTCATTACAAAATGTCACAAGATGTCTATAACTATACATTCAGCCCCGTCACATAGTTCTTTGTAAGATAACTTAGAAGTGTGCTTGTAGTTAGCAAATCAGATCCGTTAAGAACACTTTAATGTATGAAAAATGCAACCAAAGCAAAACTGTCAGAATCCCTACCAGATCATTCCTTGATTGAAGATTAGACCCAGAACATTTCCACTGATATCAAACTCAGTGTATGAAGGCTAAAATTTCAAGATAAAAATCATTGTGCGATTAATAAATAAATAACACAGCGCAAGAAGGGACTTTAATTCTGAACTTTGCCCACTATAAAAATAGTCACTACATGTGATCATAATTACTTCAACACTTTGAAACTTTTAACATTGGAGACTTGGAAGTTCTTTCTTTACATAGGGAGCTATTTAATAACTGATAGGGTTCAGTCCTCTAAGCATAGTGAGTTTGGCAATCTACTTTTGAATGGATATCCCAATTCTAACAGCACATCTTTAGCCTCGACAAAATTACTCAAACTTGACCCCTGCTCTTTATTGGCAACTTACAGATAAAACGTACATGAACTGTGATCATTTATAATCTGGTAAGATTTGAATTCATTACATTTTTTTTGTTAGCCTGGCTCAGTTGGTAGCACTCTCACTTTTGAATCAGAAGATTGTGGATCAGAAGCCCCACATTGAGACTCTGAGCTCAGATAATTCAGTGCAGTGTTTGGGGTGTGCTGCATTTTCAGAGGTGCGTGCGGTCCTTCAGATGAGAGGTAAAACCAAGGTCCTGTCACTTTTTCAAGGGTGCATTAAAGATCCCATGGTATTATTCAAAAAGAGAAGTGAGTTTCTCCCAGTTTCCTGTCTAACGACCCTCCGGAAAATCTGATTATTCACTTCACGGTTGTTTGTAGAACATTACAATATGCAAATTGGCTGCTTTGTGCAGCTACAAATACACAGTCACTATGCTTTACATCCGGTGTAAATATTATGAAGCGCTTTGAGATGTCCTCTCAATATGAAAAGTGCTATGTCAAATGCAAGGATTTTTATTGTTATGATTATTTTTATAAACTAAAATACTCACAAATCCATACTCCAGATCCCAGCACCAACAATAGTTGATAAATCTGACAAACAGAGCACGTAAGAAATCACCAATCAATATACTGCAGTATGTTACCATTATGTCAGACATCGTAAGTTTCGTGAACTCCTGTAAACAACAGTCAACAAAAGGATTCTGTCTTTAGGAAACAAATACAGAATATACTGATGTTGTCTCAATAACTTTGATGTCCATAAACAAAAGCTAAAGCATAAGTAAGATGGATAGGCTTGCATTTCTTTCAAATAACATAGCTTAGAACTGACAAAGCAAGATGCATGCGTGAGTTAAACACGTTGTACTATTTTCAATTAGCCTCTGCTCTTCACAGTAAAATGCTATGATGTGCATTTTGACGAAGTGATAAGTTTGCATATCAAATGCCCTGATTTACTACCAAAATACACAGTCAACAACAAAATTACATGTACACTTTACAATATATCAACTTTGAGATGTCCACCCGACATGAAAGGTACTATGTCAAATGCAAGGATTATTATTTAATATAATTAAGGGAAAATGTGGAGGATTATGGTAGTGCGTTGATATAACTGATCACTAGATAAATGGGAATATGATTTAAAGCTCTTAATCCACTTCTAAAGTACCAATACAGATGATTTAGGGAGAATATTATTTACCATTCCAACACCTGTCTCCCAGCAAGGCCCTCTGGGGAAATCTGCTGGATCTATAAAGGGAACTGTTGGGGAGGTTGAGTTAAGTGTCAAATTGAAGGAGCTCAACATATGAAGGGTCTTGTTCCTTACACTTTTTTCCTCTTCCAACTGAGCAAAGCAAAACAGAAAAAGAAAACATTTTCAGAAATCCTGCATTTATCTCCTTTTATCAAGGCTAATATCTCTTACCACAAAGTAACACCTCAATAAAGTACTAAACAAATCACACACACATACATACACGAACACAAATATGTCAAGCACTTTCAAATCACGTGAAGCCAAAGTAAGGTCAAAAGAAACAGAGTCACAACACTAGGGGTCATCTCACCTGAGAATTAACTTGATCAATAAGAGCCAAGAGGAAAGTATAGAGATTGCCGAGGAAAAGGGCAAACATTCGCCACAGCTGCCATTTCAGTGCAACACGGGGATGATAATTTTCCAGGTTAGCAATGGTTTCAAACATTGGAGGAACAAACATGCCCAACAAGGACATGACAATGTCAACCTATGAACAGAAAACATGAAAAAGCTATTTACTGCCCACTGCTATATTACTGAATTTTTTGTTGTTGCTTTCCCAAATGTGTTACACAGATGAGGATATCAAGGATTTTCTGTCTTCAAACAGTAATACTGAGGTGAAATTTATGACTTTACAAGCATTCAATGCAATAATTATTCCCATGCTAAAAATATTTGTCATAGGGCAGAATTTGTGATTATTTTAGTGCTTGACCAGACCCAGAGAATGGTTTGTTTCTAACTCCGGTTTCTGCCTGAATCCAAACGCCGCTAATTCATCACTTTTTGGCAGTGTCATTGTACATAAATTGGCTGCCAGGTTCACCTACAAAATACAGTCACTCCACTTTACAGTAAATCCTGTGAAGTGCTTTGAATAATTTCTATGACGTGATCAGGCATGTTGGGATTTTGAATTCACATAGATTACACTGACACGCCAACGTAGTACATTGGATTGCTAAAGGTGCCGTCCTTTGGGTGACACATTAAACCGAGGTACCATCTGCCTATTGAAGTGGATGTTAAAGATTTCACAGCAATATTTAAAAAGAGTAAAGAGTTTCCCCCCCCCCATCCTGGCAAACAATCCCAAAATAAAATTGGTCATTCACTTCATGGCTGTTTGTGAGACATTGCTATGTGTAAATGCCACATTTGCCTACAAGTATAGTCACTACTCATTACAGTACATTCTGTGAAGAGTTTTAAGAGGTCCCCCTGATATGAAAGGCACTAAAAAGAATGTAAGAATTATTATTATATCAAATGCAAGGAATATTAACATTATTACCTCATTTTTCTGGTACCACGTCAAAGTTTCCGGGGCTCCATATGTCTGGGACTTTTTCACAACAAAAAAAATTAGGTATCCACTTCCAGCCAGGCAACAAAATATAAGAAAATTAGCTAAAACAATCAGAAACCTTCTTAAGTGAATATTTTCATCTTTTTGGTTTTCCTCTTCATCCACAATAGATTCCTGACAAAATAAAATGTGAAAAAGTGCAACTTTATATAAAAAAGTCATTCACTTCATGCTATTAACAAGTATGGTACCAAGAATGAGGGACCTTGATCATGAGGAAAGGCTAGTGAGGCTAGGATTATCCTCATTGGAGCAGAGAAGGTTACGAGGAGACCTAATAGAGGTTTTCAAAATCATGAGGGGATTTGATAGATTAGAAAGGGAAAAACTGTTTCCACTGGTGGGTGTGTCGGTGATTCAAGGTCACAGTTTTAAAATAGTTTTTAAAAGAAGCAGAGGGGAGGTGAGAAGAATTTTTTTCGCACAGCGTGTTGTTCGAATCTGGAATGCATTGCCTGAAAGGGTGGTAAAAGCCAATTCAATAACAACTTTTAAAAACGCAGTGGATGGGTATTTGAGGAGGACGGGTTTGCAGGGTTATGGGGAAAGGGCTGGGGAGTGGGATTGACATTACATTGCTCTTTTCAAAGAGCCGGCACAGACTCGATGGGCCGAATAGCCTCTTTTTGTGCTGTACGATTCTATGATTCTATTTGTGAGACATTTCTCTGTGCAAATTGGGTGCCAAGTTCACCTACAAAATAATCACTACACTTCACAGTAAAATACTATGAAGCACTTTGAGATATCTCAGTGACATTATAAGGAGTTATATAAAATGTAAGGATTATTATTTATTAAAAGCATAAGACTTGTTTTTAACCGAAACTGATTTTTTCACCTCAGGAACTTACTTTAATGAGTACACAGTGCTTTTGTTTCAACAGCTAAAACAATGCTATGCCATTTGAATAAGAGACAATAAATCTGGAAATGGAGTCACAATCAATGTAAATGTCACAAAGATATATGCCCTTTAACACTGAAACATAGATTTTAGTTGACTCAATAAATACATTTAACAAGAATCTGGGAATTAACCATTCCCACATTGGGAAATCTATCAAATACAGTGGAATCAGCTTTAGTCGGACGCACACAATGTAAGTATATAGTTTTTTTTACCAGCAGTTAACATTATTTTAGAGTTAAGATTCAGCTACCTCATTTATACAAAGCAAATCAGGACCACATCCAGATTAAGGCAATTAGCATAGAGGTCATGGACTTCTTTGTATCCAGAACTACAAGGACTAACATGATCCATTTGGGCACTTCCAACTCTTCCACTCCAACCTCTCTCTCTCTCTCGCTCTCTCACTCCCCTTCCCCTGCACACTCACTCATCTCATTTCAACATCATCGCCCATATGAAAACTACCGCCTGCTGCCTCAAAGCATTACCTATCCAGCTGATTACCACCCAACTATCCTTCCTCATACCCCTTGTTAGCTGACATCATCAACTTCTCTCTTTCCTTCAGCAATGTACTCCCTCCATTGAAAACTACTGTCATCACCCCCACCTCCTCAAGAAATCTACTCTCAACTCCTGCAAACTTTCCAACCACAATCCTTTCCAACCTGCCCTCCAAAGTATTGGTATGAATAGTTGCCTCCCAGTCAGCTCCTGGGTTTCTCATCATTCTCTATTTGAGTTTCTCCAAGCCAGTTTCTCAAAGCTAGCACCAAAATAATCCTTTTCAATGTCACTGATAAGATCCTCTTAGTGTGTGATTAGGGCTCTCTGTGTCTCTTCATCCTGGTCCCCCTTTCCTTTTCTGCCTGTCCCATCGCTATGACACAACTGACTACTCTATCCTCCTTCAACAACAACAAGATTTCATTTATAGAGCGCCTTTCACGTCGGGAGGATGTCCCAAGGTGCTGGACAGTTGGGTTGGGACCCGAGCAGGAGGGAAATGGTCAGGTTGAGGGGAGGGAAGGGAGAGAGCGATGAGGGGTTAGAGAGTCAAGAGGGGAGCTGAAGGCACGGTCAAAGAGAAAGGTCTTGAGACCAGCATTGAAGGAGGAAAGGGAGGAAGCAAGGCGAAGGCACTGGGGGATGGAGTTCGAGAGCCTAGGGGCTGAGAGGATGAAAGCCCGGCCGCCGATGGTAGGGCAGGTTATGTGGAGCAGACCGGAGCCAGAGGAACGGAGGGTATGGGCAGGTAAGTAGGGGGATAGTAGGTCGGAGAGGTAGGAGGGAGCAAGGCCGTGAATGGCCTTATAGGTGAGGGTGAGGATCTTGAATTCGATCCTCTGGGGGATGGGGAGCCAGTGGAGGTGAGCGAGGGTGGGAGTGATGTGGTCCCGAAGCCTGGTGCGGGACAGTACACGAGCTGCAGAGTTCTGAATGACCTGCAGCTTGTGGAGGGAGGTGCCGGGAAGGCCGGCGAGGAGAGAGTTCCCATAGTCCAGCTTTGAGGTGATAAAGGCGTGGACCAGTGTTTCAGCAGCGTGAGGGGTGAAGTAGTGCCGTAGTCTGGCGATATTCCGGAGGTGGTGAAAGGCGGTGCCAGTTGTGGCGCGGATATGAGGNAAAAAAGACAGCTCCAGGTCGAACAGAACGCCGAGGTTCCTGACTGGCTTTGAGAGGTGGAGAGCGCAGCCTTGGATGCTGATGCTGTCAGCGCCTGAGGTGCGGAGGCGCTGACGTGAGCCAATCAGGAGGGCCTCAGTTTTGCGCACGTTGAGCTGAAGAAAGTTGTCTCTCGTCCAGGACTCGATGTCGGACAGGCAGCTGTCAGGACATCGGTGGTCGTGGAGTTGAGGGTAGAGGAGGAAAGGTAGAGTTGGGTGTCATCCGCATACATGTGGAAGTTAACCCCATTTCTGCGGATGATGTCACCAAGGGGGAGCATATAGAGGGTGAAGAGGAGGGGACCGAGGACAGAGCCCTGAGGGACACCGCACGAGACAGTGCGGGGGCTGGAGGCAAAGCCGTTTGTGGAAACAAAATGAAGACGGTGGGAGAGGTACGACCTAAACCACTCAATTAAGGGCCTTGAAGGTTGAGGTGGGAGGACAAGTGGTGGAGGAGGATAGCGTGGTCGACCTTATCGAATGCGGCCGATAAGTCGAGGAGGACGAGGAGGCAGAGGGAGCCCTGATCGCAGATGGTCAAGATGTCATTAGTGACCTTGCACAGGGCGGTTTCTGTGCTATGGGCAGCACAGAAACTCGACTGAAGGGGTTCGAATAATGAATGGGTGGAGAGGAAAGAGCGCAGTTGGGAGGTGACGACTCTTTCAAGGACCTTGGACAGGAAGGGGAGGTTGGAGATGGGCCGGTAGCTTGATAGCTGCGACACATCAAGGGATGTTTTTTTCAAAATGGGAGTGATGGTGGCAGTTTTTAGGGGAATGGGAACAGAGCCAGAGGAGAGGGACAGGTTGATGATGTCTGTGAGAAGTGGGGCAAGGAGGTGGAGCTGGGAGATAAGGAGTGGAGTGGGGATGGGGTCAAGGGAGCAGGTGGTGGGTTTCAATATCACTCCTCCCTGCTTCACTTCCATTCCACTGTGCTCTCCTGGTTCCACATCTACTCTCCTACTGCCTTCCCTATGATTCCTCAAACAGCTTTCCCTCCCATCCCACACAGTCACTGGTAGCATTTCTCATCAATATGCTCCTCCATTTACCTTGAAGCTGGTTGTAATGGAGGCAAATTTGTTGTCAGCTGTTTCAGGATTTCCGATTAAGTAATCCCAGCTGGTAAACATTTTCCAGCTGAAGTTGAAGTCTCCATCATCTCCATCTACTCCACTTTCACTGGCATTCCTGGCCATTCTGCACAGAATCAATATTGACATTAAACCAACACAATATTAAAACTGCCATATATCGTCTGACACCAAAAAGCATAAAGAATTTTTTTTGGTGTCAAGTCCACACATTGCTAGAGTATTGGTAGGTCATTTTTTTTTTCAGTTTAACCTTGAGTGATAATTCTTAAGCACAGTGGTAGGTTTCTGATTGTGTCAGAAACTCAACTGACCAATGGAAAATGTAACTGGTGTTAAGTTTTCTTAACTTTTATTTAAAAATGTGTTTTGTCATTTATTCTAGTTACTTTGGGTTAATATTAGAGTAACAGAAGACTAACATTGAATTAATAGTTTTATTATGGTCACATCAGACTTATCTTCAGCATAATTGTGAAAAATATACAGTTAAAAATAGTAGGGTATTTCTCCCAGTGTACTGGAACACAATCCCCCAGTTCATCTACAAAATACATAGTCACTACATTTTGCAGTAAATCCTGTGGAGAGCTTTGAGACATCCTCCTGTCATGAAAGCACTGTATCAAATGCAAGAATCATTAATATTATAAAATTGATCATGGCTGTTTGTGAGAAACTGTTGTGCAAAAATTCCAAAATACCCAGGCACTTTACACTAAGTCCTGTAAAGCGTTTTCAGACATTTCAACAATGTAATTAGGTGTTATATCAAACGCAAGGATCATTATTAATATTTATCCTCCTGTTTCTTACAAAACTTTTCACAGATCAGTTTGGTAACTGCTGGATATGGACCTAACAATTCTCTTCCTGACACATTGAGTACTCACGTTCTGATCACAACCATGAGGCTGTATCCAAAGGAACCCACTCCAACCATAAAATAAGACAAGGGCAATCTGTACTTGAAAACGCCGATCATTCGCTGATTATTGTAATATCCATAGAAGAGGGCTGAGTACTTCATATATCCCTGCAAATAAATAAAAGCATTCAGTTTCATTGGTTCTTTGATTATTTTAATAATTTACTTTTTATGGGCTTAATCCTACCATAGGGTGGTAAATAGCACATTCATTAAAATTCTGGGAGACTAAAAGACTGAAAATTCACCCAGCCTTAGCCTGTCAGCATATCCTGTCTCAAAATTAAGGAATGCTTGGAATTGCAGAAAATCCTTAAACCCAGTCTTTTCAAACTGGATATTTTAAGAACTCCAGAAAACTGGCTTCTAAATTAAGATTGAATTTTAAAAAATTGCACAATTAGGTACAAATTAAAATTTTAAGATGAAATGAGCTTGCTGCCTAAGACTAGGTGGAATTTTGGGCCTCTGGTACTTCAGGTTATCCGAGTTTCCACAGACTCACCCCAAACTCCCAAAGTACTGAGAAATCCATTGCTGTGGGTTGTTCTTTTCTTGTTACGGTTTTTCTAGGCATGCTGCCATATGGTTGGCCCATCAAAACCTTTAGTATAAAAACACAATGGTTTTAGACAGGAGTGGATTCACTTTCCTTACAGTTCCCTTTGCTTTTTCAAAATCAACTGTGCTTCCCTGTTTTCAACAAAATAGGAAGGCTATAACATTTTGCTTTTACTTAAGAAACAGAATAAAAGCAATTTTGCCAATCAAACCTGCTCTGCCAGTCAACTAATCTTATTTATCTGGCTTTTCTTCATATCCCTTGATATTGTTACTCACAAGGACCTATCTATCCATTTTTTAGATATTTCAATTGATTCAAATTGGTTATGTTAGAAACACAATAACGGCTAACTAGAAATGACTGTGGTAACAGTGGTTCTTGTTTCACAGCTGAAATCACAGGATCAACAACAACAGCAGCAATTTTACATTCATAAAACGCTCCATTCGCATTAGTGGAGTCCTGTATCTCAATGGTTAGAGCATTCGCCTCGCAAGCGAGAGACACTGCTGTGCGCAATTGGCTATCGCGTTCGCCCACAAATATACAATCAATTCACTTTACAGTATATTCTGTGAAGCACTTTGGGACGTCTAGAAGACGTGAAAAGCACTATATCAAATGCAAAGATTATTATTATATTACCGCCCTGTAGCTGGAAACTAGTAGTAGAGTCCTATAGTTCATTGTTTAGAGCACTCTGGCAAGCAAGGAGACCTGGGTTTGATTCCCAGGCAGCCTGAAACATTGGACAAATTTCCTTACTCCACATGCCTCTGTTTACCTAGCAGTAAGTAGGAACTCTGCCCCCATCCTTTGGAACTCCATCTCACAGTCCCTCTGCCTCGCCCCTCCCTTGCCTCTTCAAGACCCATCTCAAGAACCTACTGCATTCGATCACCCTGCTTCCCCCCACATTCACCCTCCCCAATCCCGACGCCCAGCTCGGGTCTGAAACACAGACTGTCCAGCGCCTTGGGATGTCTCCCAACATCAAAGGCGTTATAAAAATGTAACTTTGTTGTTGTTGTTAGTCGATTGACGGATCGCTTTTCCAGGGGTAATAATGCCTTCAAAAAAATGATAATAATAATTTGGTCACTCAATCCATGACTGTTTGTGGGACACTGCTGTGCGCAATTGGCTGCCGCATTTCGCCCACAAAATATAGTCAATTCACTTTACAGTATATTCTGTGAAGCGCTTTGAGAATATATTGGAAAGCGGATTGACTACGTATTTTGTGGGTGAAATGCAGCACTTTGAGATATGATAAGGTACTATATCAAATACAAGGAATAGTATTATCGGAATTCCGCCCAGTAAGTGTAGACCAAGCATAAGACCCACCTCTGGAATCACAACCAAGCCAAAGGTTAAACTGAAAAGAACCACATTGATGCCATACAGCCACCGTAGAAAAATAAAATACGAAGCAACAGAAGAGCCAAAGTGACCTAGAATAAAACAAAAGTTTTATAAATCTTGTATCATTTAAAATTACGTTTAATTGCTTTATTGCTTTATATCACATGTTCATATCCCCGATGCATAGAATTAAAAAGAATTCTATAGCATTCTATACTTCCACTCTGCTTTTTTCAGTTAGTTTATGCTAGAGATTGTTGTTTGGAAAACTGCCTCTCCAAACCATTCGACCCTTCATGAAATGTTTGCTTTAATAACACAACTTTGCATGAACATAGAATATACATGAATAGTGAGTGATTCAATAAATGGCGATATCTTCCTATTTACTCTGTACCTAAGTTTATTTAAGAAAAAGAGAGTTTGACTAAATCCGAATGTCCCCGAGCAATTGTGAAGCTCCCTCAGCTCTATTATAAGAATAATAAGAATAATCCTTGCATTTGATACAGTGCCTTAGCAAGTCTTTGGGACGTCTCAAAGCACTTTACAGAAAATACTGTAAAGTGAATTGACTGTACATTTTGTGGGAAAAATGCGGCAGCCAATCGCTTACAGCAGCGACCCACAAATAATCGTGGATTGAGTGACCAATTTATTAATTTTTTTTTGAAGGATTTATTATCCCTGGAAAAGCGATCCGCCAATCAAATAATTCGCCAATCAAGTGTGTGAGCAGACCACAAATTCGTCCACAAGATGCATACAGTCGCATCATTTTACAGTATATGCTGTGAAGCACTTTGAGATGGCACGATGATGGGATAAGGCGCTATATATTTATTATTATTATTATTAATTATTGTTGCATATAACAGTAAATTGTATTTCTAAAGCACCTCTCACGTTGGGATGACGTGCCAAGACACTGATGCAAGGATACAAAAATGCTAGGATTATTATTACCGTCAATACAATTTCTATACTATGAAGCACTTCACTAGGATGTACTTACTTTCAATTTCTTTTATTTTCATCTCCCAAGGGATGCATGAAGTCTTGAAATTCTCAAAGTCCCTTTTAAATTTGATCCATTTCTGAAAGATGAAATGGGTGTAATGGCCTCCTCGTCATTTTTAGTGAAGGTTTACACGTTTAAAATGATCAGAAAACGGGAACAGGAATAGAAAACAAATATTTTTGAAATGAACAGGAAATAGATCGTTGTAATATTTAATATAATTGTAATAACTGGACAAAGGTATCCTGAGCAATATCTCTGCCTGAGACACAAATAGGACATAGATCAAATAATGAGGATGATATGAAATCAGATTCAAAAGAATTTACATCTTGTAGATAGCTGACCTGATAGTGCCAGGAGTGCAATTGATCCCCAAAATGATAGATACTTACAGCTTCTGGCCTTGAGACTATCACCATATCATAGATACATGACCACTGATCTTCCCTATACACCTAATACCTTTCCACTGCCATACATCATCTATGCAGGATCACTTTGCATCTCTAAAAGCCATCAGTGTATTGCATGTCGTTAAGCAGCACTACAATTGTTAACTCTATTGAGCAACTGAAGTTTCTTATACCTGAAGTAAGTAGTCTCTATAAGATTAAAACAAGTTTAATATTAAACAAGCTAAGTGAGAATATCATTACAAACAGATCCCCCTGATAAAATCCCCGAGGTAAAATTGATCATTAACTCCATGGCTATTTGTTGTGTGAAAATCAGCTGCCACGTTCCCCTACACATCCACAGTCACTGCACCTCACAGTACAATCCTGTGTAACACTTTGAGATATCCTGATGAAATGAAAAGGCACTAGGATTATTATAACTGCAAGGATTTTTTTAATATATAACACTTACTCTGAGTTTTTTTTTAGTAAAACATGTTTGCTCAGCTTCATGAATTTCAGCATTGACAATGTCAGTGTGCATTTGTCGCAGGGGGGGTGGGGGGGGAGAGGAAATGAGAAGACGGAAGCCGGGTTATGGGACATGGAGAATTGAGACTCCATGCATTACAATTTTTTAAATTTAAACATATGCTAAACTTTGCACTGACCTTCATCATCATCACTTTGTAGGCATAAAACTTTCTGCCTTTTCCTTTCCCCATCGCTCCCTCAAATTTCTCTATGAATCCCTGGGCCTCCCTGACAAATGAAATTGAAAGCAGATTTTATAAATCAACAGCAACAGAGTGATAAGATTTACATATTTCAGTGTGGCCAGGATTATTCATGTTAGTTTCACAATATTTCATTCACGAAAATTCTGTGCACAAATTTAGTTTGAATTGATCATACTTGATCATAAATCTTAAGACAAAACAGTCATATAGGCTCCAATTAGGGAAACTTTGGACCAAGTGTGACTTTGACAAAGATGAAAAAAGGAATTCCTACTACTGATTGATACCACCTCACTGCTGGAGAGATAATTGTAAAGACATCAGGATTTCAGAAGCGTTTTTCCATTGAGGTGCAAAAAGTCTCAATGCCTTAAGTCCATCAATTATAATCATAACTTCACTGTACACACTTGTTTTAATTGTCTTGACGGTTAACTTTCAGACATATTTTGAGAACGAATGAGAAATCCCCCCCACCCCAGACATTTCAAGATGTACTTCTTTGATCATGTTTTCAGTCAGTTTTCCCCTCCCTATCCCCGGTTGGCTCATACCCCCAGCCCAGCCAGCATTTTCAAGTGCTTTGAGACATCCTCCCAACATGAAAGGTACTATATAAATATAAATAGTAGTGCAATTCTGTATTTTGGGGCTGTTATTGCAACATTGCTGCAAGAAAATTGGCTGTTGCGTTCACAGTTGTGTTGAGTATACACAGTCACAATACGAAACAGTATATCCTATGAAGCACTTTGAGATATCAACATAAAAGGCATTATACCAAATATTAGGATAATATAAAGTAGTCCTCTATCTAACCTGTCAATTCTGTTCATTATTTTAAATACCTCAATTAAATCACCCGTTAACCTTCTATTCTCTAAGGAATATAACCCCAGTCTACTCAGCCATCATTATAGGCCATTTAAGTGAACAAATGTTTGAGAATGTTATGAAGAAAGTGTTGGCTCATTACTTTAATGTTGTAAGTTTCCTCTTCATTCGCCAGGGTTTGTTTCTTAGTACTGCCACAAGCTTCTTTTTCTCTTCTACCTCTTCTAAAACCTTGGCAAGCTCCCCTTCAGACAAAGACTCTTCACTCTCTGATGAATTTGAGGATGAAGATGAACTGCAAAAGAGGAAAACAGTTTCAAAGCAATTTAGAATATTGCCCTGGTGTGAATCTGGTTCACGGCAACTATTGGCTTCAATGGGGTACAATGTGCGTTGATATCTGAATTTATAATAAGGAAACTGAAGGTACCTTATACTGACTCTGGGAACTCTGCTCTGCCATATTCTCTTTCTGAGCAAGTACCCTTGGATTCAGAACAGTGTTTAGGTCTAAAAATTTGCATATGATTGATCAAGGAGAATATCTTATTTGTGTGCCTGAAGTAAGATATTATTGTAATCCTTGCTTTGGATATAGTGTCTTTCACAAAACAAGGCTGCCTGAAGGGCTTTAACAGAATGTACAGTAAAGTGAAGTGACTGTATTTTGTAGGTGAACAGATGCTTGTCTAAAGAACATTTAATAGCATTTTATAAACCATGGATATTGTAAACCATGGATATTATTCATGTTTGTTGTACAATATTTCATTCACACAAATTTTGTGCACAAATGTTTAGAAGATTTTTCACTTCATGGCTGTTTGTGGGACATTGCTGTGTGCAAAGCGGCTGTTGCATTCACCTTCAAAATGCACAGTTACTACGCTTTCCAGTAAATTTTGTGAAGCACTTTGGGGCATCCACCTGACATGAAAGGCATGTTATCAAACGCCAAGATTATTTTAAGACTTTTATAAATAAACATTAAACTATCAGTATGCACCTGGAGTTCCTGCCCTTCTTTTTCTTTTTGTCACCATTTTCTTTCGCGTTTTTGTCCTTCTTGTTCCCTTTTTTATTTGATTGATTTTCCTTTTTATTGTCTTCATCCTTCTGCTTCTGATTAGCGTTGTTTCTGTTGTTCCTATTGTTATTGGCTGGTCGATTCTTTCCTGTCTTCTTACCTTTTGCTTCTGTTTCACTTTCACCATCACTAGTTTTACTGGTCTTTTTATTGTTTTTTGTTCTTGTCTTTGGCTTTTCAGCCTCTTCTTCACTATCTTCTTCACTCTCTTCATTTTTATTGTTCCTGCCATTCTTTCTTCCCCTGTTCTGGATCTGCGGTTTCCTTCTATTATTCCTTTGGTTGGGCTTTGCATCTTCTTCTGAATCTTCCTCATCCTCCTCAGATGCTTTAGCTATCTTTCTATTATTTCGTTGATTTCCTTTCTTCCTTTGTGGTTTTTTACTCTTCTCATCTTCCTCTGCATGGCCAAAAGAAGTTGCATTGTTAGATCTAGCAAATTCCATCAAGAAAGACATTACATGAGTGAAATTTGGGTTTCAGTGTTATAGGGTATAACCATTTCAATTGACTGAAATGCATGCACCATTTAATCCAAATTGCAATCACTCATAAATTGCAATTTTAACACTGTATTTACATAATAATAAATAATAATCCTTGTATTTGATATAGCAACTTATCACGTCTTCAAGATGTCTCAAAGCGCTTCACAGAATATACTGTAAAGTGAATTGATTATATTTTGTGGGCAAAACACGGCAGTCAATCGTACACAGCAGTGTCCCACAAATAGTCGTGGATTAAAGTGACCAATTTATTATTTTTTTGAAGGAATTATTACCCCCGGAAAAGAGATCCACCAATCGACTAACAACCAGGTTCCTACTTATTGTTAGGTAAACAAAGGCATGTGGCATAAGGAAACTTTCCCAACATTTCGCCCTGAAAATAGAACCTAGATGCTCTAATTACTGAGCTACAGAACTCCACATCATGCTTAAACGTAATGGATTTGAATGAACGACTTTCAGTTCATTTGTAACTTCTCATGGTTTTAGCCTTCAAAACAATTTTATTAAAATCTGAGACTATGCAGAATTTGGGCAGATTCATTCTTAACAACAACTTGCACTTATATAGCGCCCTCTATGCAGGGTAGCGTCTCATAGCGCTTAACAGGAGAAGAGCCTGACTCCGAGCCGGGGTGGGAGGTGACCATAAGTAGGGTCAATAAAGAAAATTTTCAGGCAGCACTTGAAAAGGGGGAGAGATATTAATTCGGAAACATAACCTGTTAGCAAATTCATCTAAGTTTAAGGCTAAAACCCTGACAAATTTCGGACCTCTGAATGATAATTTAATAAATAGTACAAAATAATTTGCATTTTTACAGTACCTTTCGCGTCAGGGGGACATCTCAAAGTGGTTGACAATGCTGGTTGGGCACCTGAACTGAGAGTGGAAGCCGAGGGGAGAGAGAGTCGACCGGGTGAGGAGGGAAATGATGATCATTTAACATCCAGCTTTTTATGCTCCCAGTTCCAATTAATATAGCGCTAGGCCCTAAAGTTTCTAGTTAATTAACTCAGTTTTTTTCGAAATAAACCTGCAGATATTGTTTTGTGTACAATTAACATCACATTGAGTAAAAGGCCAGTCGTATACTGCCCTCTGGAGTCAACTTGCATTATAAATAACAGAGCTGGATTGCTAAACTGTAATATAGTTTTATAAGATGGATGATAATTCTGAATCAGTGGAACGCCATCCTCATCCTTATAGTCATGGCAGTGTATCTGATTAGAGGGCCTGTGGTCCAACTTGCGCTAGGCCACAATTCGTGGGATGGGACATCAATCAATCTCCTCCGGGGTTGTGCGGTCGCAGCAGTGAATGAGTTATAATAGTAATAATGATCCTTGCGTTCGATATAGCGCTTTATCACGTCATTGAGACGTCTTAAAGCGCTTCACAGAATATAGTGTAAAGTGAATTGACTGTATATTTTATGGCACCCAAGTGAACCATGGAGGACACGATAACGGTCGAAAGTATTCAGAGCCAAGGTTTGTGAGGATGCAGTTATAGGCATTGGAAGCTTTTTACTTTGGCAGGAATGGGAAGTGGAGAGGGGATAAGAGGGAGGAGGCACACTGATGTTTTGTGTAGGGTAAGATTGTCTTGAGTGGCCTCTGCCTGTAAAAAACTCAACAAAATACTTCAGAAAAAAGACCTCGGGTGGAATTTTCCCCAAATCTAAGTCATCGAGGGAGAATTCCTTGAGCTTAATTCATACATCATTTTGAACTCAATAATCTCTCAGCTAACTTTTAATATTGGCACTTCACTATTTGAATAAAACAATATTTTGATGAAGTTAGACAGATAAACAAACACACACACATACACACAATTATATAACTTTAAGGACAATCATAATGTTTATAGTTGACTAGTTTTAAAACAATTACATTTATGAGCTTTGACAATAAACAGCCTGATAATTTTTTAAATAAAAGCAGTAAAATATTACAAAGAATTACAAAGAGTGTACAGCATGGAAACAGGACACTCAACCTAACTAGTCCATGCTGGTGTTTAAACTACACATGAGTCTTCACCCATTCCTTACTCCATCTCATTCCCTTCTCTTCCCCTCTCCCTCATGTGAAGGTTTAAGAACTCCGAGACACCATCCGGCATGAAGGGCGCTATATAAATACAAGTTGTTGTTGTTGTCTAACTTCCTCTTGAAAGCATTTATTCAATCTATTATTATGGTTTGTCTTACCATCCTCTTCCGACTCAGAAATTTCACCAGCATCAATCTGAATTCCAACTGCAAATAAGAATTTAGTTTCACAATGAGATGGTTTATTAGAGTTGTTGCTTCTGGTAAAATTAAACTTCACAAAGTACAATTTTATCTTACACTTAAGAGTATATTTCCACTGTTTAAAGTTCATGTGAAAACGATACAGTAATAAGATCTAGCTAAGCTTTCAGATCCAAGTAATTTAATTCAAATGAACTTCAAAAAGAGTGGGGGTTACAGGGGGTGGGGGCAGTGGAGAAGCTGCTACAAAAAATACACTCAGCAAAGCAAACCGCAAAACAAACAAATATCCGGAGCGGGAAACAATATTTCTGACTCTGTCCATAAATATAGGGAAATATTCTTATTACAAAGATAATCCATTTCAGAATAGGTAAAGAGAAAAAAGTAGAAGTGCACTGTCAAATATAATAATTTTCACATGATTTAAGTTTTGGCCCGTATCAATAACTTTTTTAAAATCTAACTGAATGAATAAAACTGCTCTTCATAACTATTAAATATTTTGCCTTGTAAAATATGACCCTGAGATATCTGAAATACCAGTACAGAGCTAAGCAAAACTATTTTCCTTCTGCAATAGTTCAGTAAGAACCCTCATTTTCTACAATTATACAAGGATCTCACCCACCCTCTCAGGTGAGGATACCCCAGCGATTTAAATACATGTTTAGTACAGCTTTTGCCCATTGATGTATTGAGCAGCACTTTCACAGAAGAAAACAAGGATACTCGACTTGGACGAGCCAAGTGTGCAATTGACATTGTTCAGTGTCAGGTAACTCACTGCGCAGAACATCCGCATTTACTTTAGTTATTACTTTAGTCCATACAAAGGAAAGGAAAATATGTGGATCCAAAAAAAAAAGAAATGCAAGTCACTCACTCTCTTCTAAATCTTGACGATGTGGGATTTGTTTCTTGGGTGGCATGGTCACTTTGGTCAGCAGAAGCCAGGCAGTCTTCTTGTTGTTGCTGTTGATGGGGTCTGAGCTCAGGAAAAGCCCCAACAGAGCTGCTAACTAGTGGGACATGGTCTTCTGCTGGTTTCCCTGCTCCTCTCCAGCCACAGTGCAAGGCTCTCCCCAAGCTTCTCTCTCTCTCTTGCTGGCTCCAGCTGTTTGCTGCCTTCTCCAGCTGTGCAGCCAGGGGTCTCTGCGCCAAGGAGAGACAACATATTTATGTCATGGTTGTGAAGAGCAGTTTCACTCGTTCATTTAGCTTTAAAAGCAATATTGATACTGGGGGAAAAAATGAAATACTGTCATGTGAAAATGATTATATTTGTTAATGCACTTCTACTTTTTTTCTCTTTACCTATTGGATCTTTCACTTTTGCACAAGACTCAGAAATATTAGGCACAAGATTCATAAATAAGCATTATCAAATGCAACAACAACAACAACAACAAGATTCCATTTATAGAGCGCCTTTCACGTCAGGAGGACGTCCCAAGGCGCTGCACAGTTGGGTCATGACCCGAGCAGGGGGGAAATGGTCAGGGTGAGGGGAGGGAAGGGAGGGAGAGAGGAGGGGGAAATGGTCAGGGTGAGGGGAGGGAAGGGAGGGAGCGAGGAGGAGGAAGAGAGTCGAGAGGGGAGCTGAAGGCTCGGTCAAAGAGAAAGGTTTTGAGACCGGCCTTGAAGGAGGAAAGGGAGGAAGCAAGGCGAAGGCACTGGGGGATGGAGTTCCAGAGCCTCGGGGCTGAGAGGCTGAAGGCCCGACCACCGATAGTAGGGCGGTTGGGGCGGGGGACGTGGAGCAGACCGGAGCCAGAGGAACGGAGGGTACGGGCAGGTAGGTAGGGGGATAGTAGGTTGGAGAGGTAGGAGGGAGCAAGGCCGTGAATGGCCTTGTAGGTGAGGATGAGGATCTTGAAATCAATCCTCTGGGGGATGGGGAGCCAGTGGAGGCGAGCGAGGGTAGGAGTGATGTGGTCCCGAAGCCTGGTGCGGGACAGTACACGAGCTGCAGAGTTCTGAATGACCTGCAGCTTGTGGAGGGAGGTGGCGGGAAGGCCGGCGAGGAGAGAGTTCCCATAGTCCAGCCTTGAGGTGACAAAGGCGTGAACCAGGGTTTCAGCAGCGTGAGGGGTGAGGTAGTGCCGTAATCTGGCGATATTCCGGAGGTGATGGAAGGCGGTGCCAGTTGTGGTGCGGATGTGAGGGAGAAAGGACAGCTCAGGGTCGAACAAAACGCCGAGGTTCCTGACTGGCTTTGAGAGGTGGAGAGTGCAGCCTTGGATGCTGATGGTGTCAGCGCCTGAGGTGCGGAGGCGCTGACGTGAGCCAATCAGGAGGGCCTCGGTTTTTCGCACGTTGAGCTGAAGAAAGTTGTCTCTCGTCCAGGACTCGATGTCGGACAGGCAGGCTGTCAGGACATCGGTGGTCGTGGAGTTGAGAGTAGAGGAGGAAAGGTAGAGTTGGGTGTCATCCGCATACATGTGGAAGTTAACCCCATGTTTGCGGATGATGTCACCGAGGGGGAGCATATAGAGGGTGAAGAGGAGGGGACCGAGGACAGAGCCCTGAGGGACACCACATGAGACAGTACGGGGGGTGGAGGAGAAGCCATTCGTTGAGACGAAGTGAAGACGGTGGGAAAGGTAAGAGCTAAACCATTCAAGGACAGTGCCTTGAAGGTTGAGGTGGGAGGACAAGCGGTGGAGTAGGATAGCGTGGTCGACCGTATCGAATGCTGCCGATAGGTCGAGGAGGACGAGGAGACAGAGGGAGCCCTGGTCACAGATAGTCAGGATATCATTGGTGACCTTGACCAGGGCAGTTTCTGTGCTATGAGCAGCACGGAAACCTGACTGAAGGGGTTCAAAAAGAGAATGGGTGGAGAGGAAAGAGCGCAGTTGGGAGGCGACAACTCTTTCCAAGACCTTGGAGAGAAAGGGGAGGTTGGAGATGGGCCGGTAGCTTGATAGCTGCGACGCATCAAGGGAGGGTTTTTTCAGGGTGGGCGTGATGATGGCAGTTTTTAATGGAATGGGGACAGAGCCAGAGGAGAGGGACAGGTTTATGATGTCAGTGATGTGTGGGGCAAGAAAATGGAGCTGGGAGATAAGGAGTGGAGTGGGGATGGGGTCAAGGGAGCAGGTGGTTGGTTTTAGGGATAGGATGAGTTCAGTGACAGAGGGTGGGGAAACGGGTACGAAGGTGTGTAGGGGAGGATGGGTAGGAGTCGGAGTGTGGGAGGGAAGGGGTGGGTGGTGGGTGGAAGTTGGAGGGGAAGTGACCGCGGAGCGGATTCCCTTGATCTTGGATTCAAGGAAATCCAGCATCTCCTCGCAGTGAAGGTTGGAGGAGATGACCTGCGCGGGGTGGCGGGGGGGACGGAGGAGTCGGGATGTGGTGGAAAACAGTAGCCTGGGGTTGTTCTTCGCCTCCAGGATTATCCTGGAGTAGAAGGACGACTTGGCCGAGGCTAGAGTGGAGCGGTAAATTTTGAGGAGGTCCAGCCAGATTTGTCGGTGGACCGTTAAGCCGGATTTGACAAAGGTGCGCTCAGCAGCCCGCACCTGGCATTTCAGTGAGCGGAGGTGGGTGGTGTACCAGGGGGAGGAGCGGGAGTAGGAGACAGTGCGGGAAGTGATGGGGGCAAGAGTATCGAGTGTGGAGGAGAGGATGTTGTGGAGGAGGGAGAGAGGAGAAGAGGGGTCGGTGAGGGTTGAAGGCCAGAGGGAGAGGAGTTCTGAGGACTCCAAGGCATCGGTTAGGGATTGTGGGGGTAACTTCTTCCAAGGGCAAATGCAAGGATTATTATAAATAGATTCCTTGTGTCTGATGCACTCCACTACCTCCCATCTTACAATTTGTGTTCTGTGCTTGATAACTTTCAAGTTTTGTTTGCATTTTATCATGCTTTTTTTTTCCAGGGGTGGAGGAAGGAGAAAATAATAATTTGTTAAACCTGCATGATATTTTGAGGGATAACAAAGGTCTAATACTTAGTTCATGTGGTTGCAATCAAATGCTGTGGGGGGGAAATGAAGCATTTCCTATTATCATAGTCTGGGCTGCAATGAAATGCCACAAACTGGAGTATCAGCCTCATCTCTGAGCTCATGTTCCAAGGTTTCTGCCCACAACTTTCTGATCCAGAGACGAGAATGCTACCAATTGAGCAAGGTTGACACCACCACTAACTCTCTCATTTGGATTGTTTATGATGCAATGGTGCTTGCTAAGGTTTTACTAGATTCCTTTTTACCAGCTGTTTGTTTTGATTCTGTGGAATAGGAATTTCTCATGTGTGAAAGCTGTATATTTTCTGCATTCATTTACTCCAACCACTGAACTGGCAAACGACTCTCAAGGTACCAATTGTCAGAAGAGCTTCAATGGGTTGTTCTTGTATTGGAATGGTGTGAGTCAGTGTGTGGCTTGAAAGTACATTTGCTGCAAAAAGCACAGGATAAATTGTGTTAGAGCAGTAACTGCATTGATTAGACTGTTAATTGTAATACCATACAGTAATCCACATTGGTTTATAGCAATCTCCCTGATGAGCGCTCCAGAACTAAATGTAATGTGTAATGTTAGATGCCTCCGCCACTTTCATCTGTCTGTCTTTCAGGATTATGCTATTCACACACCGCAAATTTAAGTAAGATGTTAACTCTGTAACAAGCAGCATTGTACAGTGGCACGATGAAGCAATCAATCATTTTAAAATTTAATTAGGCTTTAAATTTCCTATTGTCTGATTTTTGTAAGGCTTTATTTCTTGAACATAGCTTCTTGGAACAAACTCAAGAAGGCTTTCATAATAATAAAAATAATCCTTACTTCGATATTGTGCCTTTCATGTCAGGAGGATGTCTCAAAGGACGTCATGGAATTTACTGTAAAGTGGAGTGACTGTGTACTTTGTAGGTGAACTATAATGGTATTTATGAAATAGGAAATATTGTATGAGAAATAGAAAAATACTTTCAAACTATGAATGGCTAAAATGGTGTTGGAGGAATTGAGAAAAAAAATTTCAAAGGAACTGATGTAAAGTTCTAAAAGAAAAGTTAATTTCCTGACCCCCGCCCTATAAAAAATGTCAGTGGTACATGTAATGAATGTCAGGGTGGGAGCAGAATTCTGATCAATCTGAAAATTGATTTCAAATTTGCGATCACCTCCCCACCCCAACTGGCTCAGAGACAGGCTCCACCACTGTTAAGTCCTCTGAGATGCTTCTCTGCATGGTGGACACTATATAATAATAATCCTTGCATTTGATATAGCGCTTTTCATGTCTTCTAGACGTCTCAAAACGCTTCACAGAATAAACTGTAAAGTGAATTGACTGTATATTTGTGGGCGAACGCGGCAGCCAATTGCGCACAGCAATGTCCCACAAACAGTCGTAGATTGAAAATTACCAATTTTATTATTGTTTTTTGTTTTGGAGGGATTATTATTAGGCGTGTGGAGTAAGGAAACTTGCCCAAGGCTTCGCCCTGCCTGGAAATGAACTCAGGTCTCTCGCTTATGTGTGCAAGTTGTTGATGTTGTTCCATTATAAGTGCCCTTAATGAAGTCCTAATAATAATTCTTGCTTTTCATATATTGCCTTATCACTTCGAAACATCTCAATGTGCTTGAGTAATTACTGTTAAGAGTAGCAGTATATTTGTAGTGAACGCAGGGGTCTAATGAAAGTCAGGGTGGAAGTGACAATTAATAATAATAATAATAATACTGTTATGTCCCAACATACAAATAGCCAGAAGGTGAATGACAACTAATTTAACTGGAGCATCATTGGCCAGGACACCAGGAAACACTCCCTTCTTTTTTTCCAATTGGTATGAGATCATGTGCTATCTACCAAGTGGTCATTTCACTTTACAATATATCCTGTGAAGCACTTTGAGACGTCTTGAAGACGTGATGAGGCGCTATATCAAATGTAAGGATTATTATTATATAATATTGTCTAGCTTCGTTGCAATTG